TCCCCGCTTAATATATTATTTTATTTAAAGTAATTTGCTTTTTGTATATTATGGTGATAGGCAAGAAATCATTGAAGAGATGATATGTAGGTACAATAATATTACATATTATTATTTTATTAAAGTGGACCATCACACTTGTATTTTAAAATTGAATCTATTAGTAAATAAAAAACAACATTTTTGTTTTTTTTTGTTTTAAAATATATAAATAAAATTAATTTGATAATTTATTATGAATTATGAATTATTTCTAAAGTTTCCTTTTCCATAATTTTGTTAATCATTTTAAAAATAATTAATAATAAATAAATGTTTTTTTTTTCATTTTTCAAAATATTGTTTAATGATATAGACCTCTCCCAGAAAAAAAAAATCGAAAACAAATTTCATAAAAGAAATTTAAAAACACAAGCCCGGCCCAGGCCTGTTAAGTATAGTTCGGGCCAGAGGCCGGGCCTTAAAGATTCCTATCAAAAACCGCATAATTTTAAGAAATATCGAATGGGGGGGGGGGTGGCTAAAATATAATGAATATTTATATATTTTTTATATATATAAACTTTAATATTATATTATATATCCTTTTTTTATTATATTAGTTTCAATATATATTTATTAAAATTATATTCTCATATGAAATAAAATCAATTTTGCATTAAAATGTTTTTATTTTCAATATAAAAGTTCAAAAAGTATATCAAAGTACGTCTATTTATAAGAGTGTATTTAAAGAATGAAATTAAAATTATATAATTTAGAACATCATACCGGCGACATAGTTATCTCCGGTCTAACGGAAAGAAATACTCTCTAATATTTTCAAAGTCACTGATATAGGGCTGGTTCCTGCACTCCTACTCAATAAATACTCTCACCATATTTCGTTCCAGCAAAGAATGAAATCATGAACAATATCAATACTAACATAAGTTGGCTTGTTATTTTTTTTTTCTTTTTGGCATAAAATAAGTTTTATTTTCCTTGTATAATATTTTTGTATCTGACCAGATCTTGTGATAATAATAATAAGATAATGATGTTTTACAAGCTACTATATATTATATCTTGCGTTACGGGATTTAGTTAAGAAAGGGGTTAAACTAAATTAAGAAAAAAAAACTAATTAAGATTAGTTCTATAATCCTGTGTAAATCAATTAAGTCTAGGACTAATGATTTAATACAATTTTTTTTTTCCCGTAATTTATTAACTCGAAAAACGTAATAACGAATAAGAATCTCAAAAATTTATTAATCTAATTTTAGCTCTTCATTATTTAGGGTAGAATATTCGAAGGGTTAAATTAATTCCAATTATTTATTTGTAAATATCCGTAATTATTAGTCATTAAATATCCGAAATTATTCGTAAACATTCAAAATTATTCATTTAAATATCTTGAACGAAATTTTTTATTTTAAATTATTTACAAATTAGCTTATATTTCAGAATCTAATATTTAATTATTTAAAATTTAAATTAAATACGAATAATTTCATTCATTCATTCATTTCGTATTTTGGAGTAATTCCTAGAATAATTAAAACAATTAAAACAGTCCATCTTCTTTTGACAGAAAATAAAATCATAAAAACTTTTTAAAAATGATAATTTATCATAACTATGGTTAGGTTTATGAGCATAATCTTCATGCCTTTGCAGAAGTAAATATGCCAATCTTTGAAGGAATTTGAGATTGAGCTATCTTGTCAAAAAATATGTTTTTTTTTGGAATAGCCTATACAACGCCTAAATTGGTGAGATTGTCAAATTTTCCAACTATAAGCTGGATTATTAAGCCGGTTACTAATAATTCCAAACTTTATTTTTTTTATATTTAATGATTTTGTTTAAGTCGATATTATGTTTATCTTACATTCATTTTTGGTTCCGAACTTAGATTTAAACCGGTTAACAGATCAGCTTTTGAAATGGTGAGCCGGCATATCTATCATTCATAACAAGGGTACAGAATGTGAAAAGTAATAAATCAGTTATTATAATGTATTATTTTTATTATTATTATTATTGTTCAGTTCAGAAACTTGTAATGAAAAAAAAATACAATAGAGAAACTTTTAAATAAAATCCTAAAATCTTAAAGTGAATACAAATACCTAGTAAACTAAGTAAATTTCATTCAAACAGCCGACATATCTCTCATTTATAAATTTTGTTTTTATTTTAGTACTATTGTTCAGTTCAGAAACTCTAATAACGTTTCATAAACTCTATCAAAGTTTTCGAAAAAAAGAATAAAATAAAGTAACATTGAAAATAATCCTGAAATCTTAAGATAAGTATAAGTAAATTTAAATCTGGTTAACGAGCGAGCTTGGAAATAATGAACCGTTATTAATTTAATAAACCTTTAACTAAACCATTAAAAATAAAATTCAAAAAGGGGAAAAAAACCGAGTCTTATAAATGATTTTGGGGTTTAAATGGGGTTTATAGTTTTTTAAAATTATATTTATACTGAATATCTACCAATGGCACCAAAAACAATATATCAAAAATTATATATTACTATATTATTACTAAAAAATCGTAACATTTACAAAATAAAAACGGGAACAAACAAACCGATGTGAATCTCCAAACCCTAAAGAACCTTAGGAATGGAACTAAATCGTTTTTTTTTGAAAGTCATAGCAAATTAGACACCCCGCTTTAACTTAAAATCTTTATAAGTTTCAAATTTTTTTTTATATCTCCTGTAAAACACCCATCTCTCTCATTTTCCTATCTATACCTATATATAGTAGTTTGCTTAGCTAATTCTAAATTTTATTATTATTCATATTTATATATGCAAAGGCGATCCGAACAGCCGTTAACCAAACATCGTATCAAAAAAAAACGTAATTTATTTATTATTGTTAAAATATTTTATTACCGTTATTCCTCCGTGAAATTCCTTTTCTTATGTCTAGGATTACAATAAACTGTATTTCTGTACTACTTACCTCCCCATTAATATGCACCTGTATTCTAAACATACTTATCAACTCTGCAATAAAATATTTGGTCGGGATGATGGCTTTGCGTCTTCTACACTTTTTGGCTCATGACTCATTGCCTTGTAAAAACCCAGCAATGATATCAAGCCAATAGCCATTAGCTCTATCTTTCGACAAATTTTCATCAAGATTTCATCAAGAATAAAGCATAATGTATCTCTCATTCTGAGATTGCGGATGGTGGTGAGACTGCGGTACACTTAACCCCTATTTAGTTAAAAAAAAACCAAATGAAGGCTTAATAAGATCGACTTCCACAATGCTTATAATACCCTGTCTCGGAATTCTTTATTAGATTCCTCTAACATTTTTTACGTATGATTAGTGTTGTTAAACAGCTCGTTTTGAGCCGATTTTTAAAAACGGCTAACTCAATATTTTATCTAGAATAATATTACGCAAGCCTGAAGATTTTGTTTGTAGAAGGAATAGAGGTTTAGACATCTATTAGCTAAATCTCGAGGCTTAGGCAATATTTTTCTGGCTAAAATATTGAGTTAGGCGTTTTTAAAAATCGGCTCAAAACGAGCCGTTTAACAACATTACGTATGATATAGCAAATTTATTTATCTTTACAAATTGATTCTTATAAAATTCCCTCCATTCAAAGGATTAAATAGAGCGATACTCTCAGGCCATTACTATTTTATCTCAGATAAGGGCTATAAATGCCTAATGCTTTTATTTCTCCTTATATCTGGAACATTGACGATTCTATAATCTGTTGCTCTTCCTAAGAGGCCAATAAAGATCGATATAATCCTGGAGATTAATTCTTATTTAGGGCTCATTCTCAATCAGGACAAATCGAAATTCATCAAACTTATGTTATGAACCTAACATACACAATTTTAATTTTTGTAAACATCTTGCACATTCTTCACGCTCTTATGACTACCCCTGTTTTTATATATCCTGATCCATTAAACCATGAGACTTTAATCAAGGCATTTAGTGAAAGGAATTTTAAATCTAAGTTTATAAAAATTACTTGGGCCCATTGACTGTCTTGGCATCAGATCACATTATGATTTAACTTTAACTACTTTTTATCTCAAGCTGCTTATTAACAAAACTTACCGTTAAAGCTCACTCTTTTGTGGTTGATTAGATCTTAGATTTATGTTAACACCCCTTTACCTGCCCGTTGAAAACAAAAGGAATAGGACTTCCCGGTTGTTGCGTGCTACGTCAAAACTCTACTATCAAACATGCATGCCATCGATTGTCCTCCTTTTTTGTCTGCTACTCAAGGTCATTCCTTCTATTAACCTTCAGATGCAACTTACTAAAAATGAGTTTACACGTACCGTTAGTATCTGTCTCAACTTCCCAATTACCCAATCTCATCTTTGTATTGCTCACCTCGACTCAAAGGCAAGGCATAGTCTGCACTGTCATTCTTGCAAAAAACGTATCCCTAGATACCATCAATGCAATGCCATTACTTGCCCTGATGGAACGTCCAAATGGCATTACTCAAATTCCTTAAGGGGTCAATTCTTAATTTGGGACTATTCCCGCATTGATCCCTTACCCCCCACAAATTTGAAGACAAACATATTTAATCTTAAAGAGCTTTCTAAAATAAATAAATTCGGAGATATCCAAAGACCATATTTTTATACCAATAATCTCTCCTATATTAGTTATATTTTTGTGGCCCTGGATTATCCTTCTTCGAAGAATTCGGTACACATATATCTAAAATTATTGCTAAACATAGTGAAAGAAATTACATCAGCTTCAATCTATATCTCCTTCCAAATGAGCCAATCTAACCTTTTAAACCCTTTTTCTCATATATTATTGATGATTTTACAAATTTTTTTTTAAAAAATATGTATATAATAATTTGTCAATTATTTATTGTGCTGGAATTAACAAATAAAATTTTATCGTGATTAGTTTATAATATAAAAAGGCTAAAAAAAAATTTTTTATGTATAAATGATAAATGAAAAACAAATATTCTCAATAATTATTTGCTAGTGAAGCAGGGGATTCCGCCTGCAATATGGTTTTGATTATGATTGAATAATAATCCTTCGCTGCATTCATCCCAAATACGAAATCGTAATGATTCGAATTTTCGAATTTGTAATTGCCAACCAGTTTAGGGATCAAAGGAATCAACTTATTCACGTCTTTCGGATCCGCCACCCAATCCTTAAGTCCCCAGAATATCATTGTCGGAACTGTCATTTGCGTTACGTCATATGATGGAGGTTTAAACTAATTCCATTTTTTTTTTGTTTTGTGAAGAGAGAAAAGGTTAAATCATTCTTTTTATCTAATCCTACTATGTCCAGATTTGACGAAAATAGTGTGATCAAACATTAAATAATAACCAGTTTGTGTTAAAAATTGTTTTCATTAAAAGAAAATCCAAAATTGTCATAAATAGCGATAAGGGTTCATCTCAAACTATTAGAAAAAAATTAATCTGATTTGGCTTGTCAACAGAAACATATGTTTCTAACATATGTTTCTACACTAGAAGTTAAATTAAATTTCGTAGCTTTTTTTCGAAATCTCGTTTCTCAAAATAATTCATTTTGCTCAGTAGGGGGTGGGCCCTAAATTTTGGGTTTTCATAAAAATATGAAATAAAATTAATTATCATGTTTTAATATGAGAATCATACCGCGCCATAAACTTGCAGGTTCTTAAAGTATCCTAGATCGTATTTTCGAAAATCGCCTTCTAAGATACCCTGGGCAAGATGAGCTATATTTCTCACAGAAGTTCCAGCCGGATAATGTCCATAAATCACTGGTATTCTGCTCTAAAGATAGAATGTTATAATTTTTTAATATAATAATAATAATAATAGTAGATATTATGTTAATTAATATATTCAAGAAAGAAAGAAAGAAAAAAAAAATGAATATTATCTTTTATAAATTAAACTTCGATATCTTTATCGCTAACCTTTAACTTTAGTTTCCCTTTCATTGCTTATCATACGGAAAACCGTTATAAATATTAATCTCAAATGATTTAAAAATTAAAATAAAAAAATTTAGGTTTTATCATGGTTTGTGCGTGAATGTTGCTCTCTACTTGTTGATAAACCTAAATAGAGGATCCCAAAACCTTTTAGTCTTGGGAATGATCAGGTTTTTAATTTGTTTTTAAGGCTAACGGTTATCGATTCAGTAAAGTGTGCACAATTGTCTCAAGTTATAATTTGAGATAAAAGTATATATCGAAACAATTTCTTTTAAAAAATGTATAGTTTTTGATATATATATATATAATAATAAATCTAAAATATTCGTCCTCTAGTCGACTCAAGTTGACCACTTAAGTTTACATGACCCGAATTCATAACTCGAGTCAGTTTGGGTTGATTTTTTGACCCAAAACATGGCTCAGTTTTTGACTAAGTTGACTCGACTCAGTCGATTAACAACACTATGTATTTATATGACTAAATTGTTTAACGACATGTTTGCGTTACCTAAAATTATAAAAGGTATTTCTGTATAGGAATATCGGATACCGTATAAGAACAACTTACAACTATGACAAATTATGAATAAATTATAAAATTTATCATTTAATTTCAAAAGATTCAATTAAACTGTTTAATTACGAACTATAATTTAAAAAAGAATATTCAGATTAGCTTAAAATTTTGATTAGTCAAGGTTATTATAATCCTGTCTAAACATTAATTATAACTTAATATTCTAAATTGGGATTTAAAAGAGAAAGAAAGAAAGAAAGAAAGAAAGAAAAAAGAAAGAAAGAAAGAAAGAAAGAAAGAACGAAAGAAAGAAAGAAAGAAAGAAAGAAAGAAAGAAAGAAAGAAAGAAAGAAAGAAAGAAAGAAAGAAAGAAAGAAAGAAAGAAAGAAAGAAAGAAAGAAAGAAAGAAAGAAAGAAAGAAAGAAAGAAAGAAAGAAAGAAAGAAAGAAAGAAAGAAAGAAAGAAAGAAAGAAAGAAAGAAAGAAAGAAAGAAAGAAAGAAAAAAATATATAAATTATTAATTTATTGAAAGTTTCAAAAAATCATTATCAATATATACTAACAAATCGTAAAATTTGTTATTGTTTTATAAAAGAAAAAAAAACTTGGTTTAAATTCCCTGTCGGTGGCCCCCCAACCAAATATAGCATATTGGAGCATATATTGAGAGCGGTCCCATATGGACAAACGGATCTGGCCATCCATTCAATTATGGAATTACTTGGGTAAAATTCTTTGTACCCTTATCAATTAGAAGTAATAAAACGGCGTAAAAAAAACAGTTTTAAAAAAAAAAGAAAAAGAAAATAAACAATTAAAATGCAGGCCTATCAATAAGAGAATAATTGTTTGTTTAAATAATTCAAAAGTGACATAGAGAAAGAAAGAGAAGAAGAAGAAAGAAAGAAAGAAAGAAGAGAAAGAAAGAAGAAGAAAGAAAGAAAGAAGAGAAGAGAAGAGAAGAGAAGAGAAGAGAAGAGAGAAGAGAAGAGAAGAGAAGAGAAGAGAAGAGAAGAGAAGAGAAGAAGGGGGGGGGGGGGGGGGGGGGGGGGGGGGGGAGAAAGAAAGAAACGAAATTTAATTATATTTTTTTTTACCTAACATACTGCTTATAAGATCATACGTCGATGTTAAATGAGCGAATAATCTGAGAGGCGATTTGATGTTTTTCACGTAAGCCAGCGGAGACAACGCGAAAAGCGTTTTCACTTTGCTAGAAATCCCGGGGTTTTGAGAGAAATGCGCGAAGGCTGTCATGCTCCCCTGGGAATGTCCTACGTAATATATGTAGTCTCTTTTGGCCATGCTGATTATGAAATTGATAACAGCTGGAAGATCGTATTGGGCAATCTCGTCGATGCTTATAAAAAAATATCATTAATATATTTTTTTTAATAAGTATAAGGGAAACCGGGGCACCTTTAGTTTAGGGGAATGTTTTGTCCACTCCAAATTATATTATTTTTTTTTTGTTATTATTTTATTAGACCGGGAAATTTAAAGCTTAATATATATATAACATTCATAAATGATCGGCTGAAAAAAAAAGGTTAGAAAAAATATTTGGTAGTTTTAATATTTTACAGAGGAAAATGTGTTTTAGCATAACCAAAAGTAACGATATTTTTTAATCTGACAATTATTTAGGAATGAATATAAATTGATATGATTCTGAATGATATTTATAAAGTTAGTTGAGTTAAGTCTTGGTTGGCCATAGGATAGTTGGTTCTATTAATTATTGCATATTTATTTTTTTTATTTTAGTTAAAACAAATGCAAATAATATCCAATAAATATTTATTAATTTAATATACTTTGAATAATATTTCATTTTAATTTTAATTTTTTTTTTTGCAAAAATTTCTTAAAATCTGTAGATTCAATTCAATTTAATTATTGTTACTTTCTTTCTTTCTTTCTTTCTTCTTTTAAATCTCAATTTAGAATATTAAGTTATAATTAATGTTTAGACAGGATTATAATAACCTTATATAACACAAAATAATTAATAATCTTATATTTAGACCTCAATTTTATGTGTTTCAAATCAAATGTCACATTTCGGTGGCCCAACGTATACCCAGGGCCAGAGTTATTAATATTTAAATTTTTCCAAAAAAGTATTAAATTTTGTAAAATAATCTATACCCTTATAAGATTCAGAAGATGTATTTATCTATTCAGATTAGTCTAAAATATACTAAATTTATTTAGGTTTGAACGAAAAGTGCTCTCAGCCCATACTTCTTTTATTATACTGGAAAACAATATTCAAAATGAATTCTCTAGAAGCATTATTAGAATCTTAAAAGGTAATCAAACCTCCAATCCCAAAACTGTTTGTCATCGGTGGTATATATTTTATGTTTCCTAGAATATTTGTTTCCTCTCGTATCTGCCAACCAAACATCCAAGTTACTATCGGCCATAATGTACGCTGCGATTAAATAGAAACGAAAGAAAGAAAAATAATATATAAATATAGCCCACTAACCGATATCATTAATATTTTCCCATCCCCAAATTATTTAGTCATTTGTGCCGTTTTCAGATTCAAAAATAAAATATTAGGAAAAAAGGCTCTATTCGTATATATTTTATAATATTATCCAAACATTTTCCCATATTTCTTAAGGAAAAATATAAAATAAATAATATTATTCATTTGTTGATATTAGGTTATCATCATAAAAATATTGGCAATAACCCGTCAGATCAGTATTAATTGGTTTCAATCTCCCCAATTAGCAATTTTAAGGAGGCATATAACTATTTAATCTTTGAATTTTCTTTTATAAGTATGAAAAATTGTAAATACTCATTTAATTTCATTTCCATAAGAGAATATATTATTTCTTAATGTTTCTTCTTTCATTTCTTATATTTTTTTTTTGAATGTTGTTTTATATTAGGGTTTTCAAAGATGTTTGTAGATTATTTTTTATATTTTTTAAGCCCGACCTAACCCTAATTTTTAGGGCTTGCAGCCCTCTCATAATTACAGAAAAGAAAAATGGAAAGTGGCTGGGCATTTTTTTTGGCCTGAATTAGCACTAAGATTAAACATCCTTGAAGCGTTTTGAAAATGTTTTAAAATCATTTCCAACTTTGTATTTTATAATGTTTTATTGAAATAGTCTTAAAGAAAAAAAAACTTTCTTTTAAAAAGAAATTTTTCAAAATATAAATCTATATTTTATATATAGAAACTTAACAAGAACTTTAGGTCAACTATGAAACAGCGTATAGTCATGTTTTTATCCAAAAATATTCGAATCAATCTTCAAGATGAGACTCAACTTAGAGGCTTAATTCAATTTTTTTTAGGCTAAAAGCTTGACTTAGAAACAATAGCGATGGATGGTCAAAGTTAGATGATTTAACAACACACTATGAAAAAGTGAATAATAAGACGACCACTCAGATGATCGGGTCGTGTTGTTTTCAACTATTTTAATTCTTACTTTCACTTTAATAAGCTTTCTTATATTATATTATAAGTATTTTTTAAAAAAAAAATTTTTTTTTAAAAATAAAATTACCTAAACTCTGGTTTTCCAGGTTCATCAAAAAGGCGCAGGATGTGCTTAATAAACCGTGCTGCAAGTAAACAGAGGCCCTTGTCTCTGTTGGCTTGTTCCCTTTTTTGCCATACGGGATTCTATGCAATTGCAGCATAAAACCGTCTTCCGTGGTGACCTCGTAATTTTCGTAAGGGTAACCCTTGGATTTTATTAGCTCGGCCTATAAATATTCCGTTGTTTTTTTAAAAAAAATCAGCCATTTTATATTAAAATGATTCTTATTGTGTATACAGAGAGAGTTATTATCCATCTTTATATAAATAATATAATATATCAATTATAAGCATTAATAAAGTTAAAGCCATTTTTTTTTAAAAAAAAGATGCAATCTTTGTAGTGGGGGAACTGACCAAAAAAGTCGTTCCTTCCATTCCCACATTTACCAATTGGCTACCCTTGTATTCCAGATAATTATTAATTCTATTACTTCCTATCAAAATTGCATTTTTTATGACTTAAACCTAGTGTTATTAAATGGCTAGTTTGAGCCGATTTTTAAAAACGGATTAACTCAAAGATTTTCGCCAGAAAAATATTGCCAAAATCCTCGAGATTTCACTAATAATTGTCCTAACATTTGTGCCATCTAATGATCAAAATCTTCACCTTACATTATTTTATTTTTGGATAAAATATTGAGTTAGCTGTTTTTTAAAATCGTTTAACATTACTGCTTAAAAACATATTAGAAACTCTCTATTTAACTTTGAAAGATCTTATTTTATCGGAAGCGTGTTTCATCGCGTATACCATAGAGTTTTTAATGCAACTTTATAGTTGAAATTGGTTAGAAAATTTTTTTTTAATAAGTTTTCTCTACAGAAACTCAGCAATATGATTCCCAGTTTCTAATCAAATCATTTTCAAAAACAATAGCAAGACAGCGTTATAAATAATCCAAGTTTTTAAAAATTGTTTTTTTTTTACTAAAGACCCTGGTGCCATGAGGCCTTAACACGGAATTTTACTAATTTTACTAAAGTTCCTAAAGAATATATATACTAATTATAATATACAAAAAAAATATACCGGAGTCATAGTTATCTCGGGGTCTAATGGGACTAAGTAATCTCTCCTATATTCACTATTGTACGAATTTGCTTCTCGGCGTCCTACATAACTACTCTGTCCATATTTCGCTCCATAAAAGAGTGGGATCAAAAACAAAATTAATATAGACATAGTTGACTTGTTTTTTTTTTGGCAAGGGAGGATTTTTAGGAATAAATTTAGAGAGAAAAAAATTATATTTTTATTTCCTCTTTAAAAAAAATAGCCTAAATATTAAAAAATATAAAATATAAAATATAAAATAAGTTAATCATACCACACCCCATCCATCTCATTGTTAAATTTTGTTAGAATCTAAATTTATTATTATATATATTACATATATATATACATTAAATCAGACCATTAATTTGATATAAAAAAAAACAACATTTGAAAAAATTATGAGGATAAGATTTAAGAGTAGGGTTCGATAACGAAAATACTCTATGTGCCATCCATAAAATATAGCTAATAAATACAATTATTCGTTTATTTACACTCTAAGTGTTATTAAACAGCTCGTTTAGAGCAGATTTTTTTTTTAAAAAATACCTATTCATTCAATTAGAAATCTGCAAAAATAGGCATGAGCCGACCCTTTTTTTTATAAAGAAATCCGGTCAGATCTTAGTCAGGCCTAATATTTTTTAAAAAAAATCGGTCCTGGTCGGGTCGAGCCTTGGAAATATTTTTTGATATATCTTAAATTTATCAATTTTATATTTCAATTTTTAAATGTAAAATAAAAAATATTTTGATTATATTTATGGAAGCAAAACGGCCATATAACGTATATTTTTTTAATATTGAATGATTATAAAAATTTTCGGGTCGAGCCTTGGAAATATTTTTTGATATATCTTAAATTTATCAATTTTATATTTCAATTTTTAAATGTAAAATAAAAAATATTTCGATTATATTTATGGAAACAAAACGGCCATATAACGTATATTTTTTTAATATTGAATGATTATAAAAATTTTCGGGTCGAGCCTTGGAAATATTTTTTGATATATCTTAAATTTATCAATTTTATATTTCAATTTTTAAATGTAAAATAAAAAATATTTTGATTATATTTATGGAAGCAAAACGGCCATATAACGTATATTTTTTTAATATTGAATGATTATAAAAATTTTCGGGTCGAGCCTTGGAAATATTTTTTGATATATCTTAAATTTATCAATTTTATATTTCAATTTTTAAATGTAAAATAAAAAATATTTTGATTATATTTATGGAAGCAAAACGGCCATATAACGTATATTTTTTTAATATTGAATGATTATAAAAATTTTCGGGTCGAGCCTTGGAAATATTTTTTGATATATCTTAAATTTATCAATTTTATATTTGAATTTTTAAATGTAAAATAAAAAATATTTCGATTATATTTATGGAAACAAAACGGCCATATAACGTATATTTTTTTAATATTGAATGATTATAAAAATTTTCGGGTCGAGCCTTGGAAATATTTTTTGATATATCTTAAATTTATCAATTTTATATTTGAATTTTTAAATGTAAAATAAAAAATATTTCGATTATATTTATGGAAACAAAACGGCCATATAACGTATATTTTTTTAATATTGAATGATTATAAAAATTTTCTGGTCGGGTTGGGACCGGCAAAACCTTTTTAAAAATATTTTGGGTTCGAGTCAGGCCGGCAAAATTTTAAAAATTTCGCGTAGGTCTCAAATAGATTCGACATTTAATCCAGAAAAATGTTGTATGTCCCATAAATGGCAGAAAGGTTTGGACATCTATTAACTAAATCCTCTAGGGCCAAAGCAATATTATGCTGGCTAAAAATTATTGAGTTATTCGTTTTTTAAAAATTCGACCCGATTCAATTTAAAAAAAATACGAATAAGATACACGATCATTCGATTACAAAAAACTCCTCTCCTCTCCTCTCCTCTCCTCTCCTCTCCTCTCCTCTCCTCTCCTCTCCTCTCCTCTCCTCTCCTCTCCTCTCCTCTCCTCTCCTCTCCTCTCCTCTCCTCTCCTCTCCTCTCCTCTCCTCTCCTCTCCTCTCCTCTCCTCTCCTCTCCTCTCCTCTCCTCTCCTCTTCTCTCTCTCTCCTCTCCTCTCCTCTCCTCTTCTCTCCTCTTCTCTTCTCTTCTCTTCTCTTCTCTTCTCTTCTCTTCTCTTCTCTTCTCTTCTCTTCTCTTCTCTTCTCTTCTCTTCTCTTCTCTTCTCTTCTCTTCTCTTCTCTTCTCTTCTCTTCTCTTCTCTTCTCTTCTCTTCTCTTCTCTTCTCTTCTCTTCTCTTCTCTTCTCTTCTCTTCTCTTCTAACGGAATACGAATAATGATAATGATTAAAAAAATAATAATAAGACTTTAAATTTTAAAATTAAAACTCTTCGTTTGAAATTATAAGGGTAAATATTAACCAAAATTATTCTAAAATTATTTATTTCGAGCTAAACCTTATTATATTCAAAATTTATTATATTGCCCTAGATTTGAATTTTATATAATATAATATATATACAATTTGGTAATATATTCAAGATCTGCCATAAACCAACTTACTATAAAAATCAAACGGGTAAAACTTAACGTTAGGTCTAAATAGGGGTTTAGAGCGGATATGTTTAGGGTAAGATTTTACATGTTTAAGAAATTAGTATAACATTATACCATATTAAGAAATAACGATTTTGCATCGAAACAAAATTCATAAAATCAAAAATCGTAAAGGGATAAAAGATAAGGACTGGCAGATATGATTTAGGTATTTTTTGAAAGAAAAACATCCTTAATTCTTATATATTAATGTATAATAATTAATTGCATTTCAGTTTTTTTAGGAATATTTTAAAAAAATTTAAGACTAATATATAATAACAATGAAGAATTTTGTTGAAATATTGAAATAAGATACAATGGATTTAAGGGGTTGAATGAATTACTAAAACATATTTATATATTGTTTCAAGAATTGCTTAAATTAAAAGGTTAAATAATCTTCAAAAATAAAAAATTCATCTCTAACAATAGAATGTATTTATAAACGGAGTCATTAATTATCATCGAAAAATATTTCGATTTTTTAATTTCCTTTTTTTTAACTAAGTTGCGTTAATAAATTACTCTTTTTTATACTATAGTTTTAGACGTCTTGAGATATACTAGAAAGACTTATTTTATCTTACATATTTCCTTGATCAGGTCTTTTTTTCTGGCAACTAAGTTGCGTTAATAAATTACTCTTTTTTTTCCAAACCCACTAAAACAAGTTACATACTATAGTTTTAGATATCTAGAGATATACTAGAAAGACTTATTTTATCTTACATATTTCCTTGATCAGGTCTATTTTTCTGACAACTAAGTTGCGTTAATAAATAACTCTTTTTTTCCAAACCCACTAAAACTACATACTATAGTTTTAGCCGTCTTGCGATATACTATAAAGACTTATTTTATCTATATTTCCTTGATCACGTGTATTTTTCTGGCAACGCTACCATTTCGTTCCAATCATTTCTATTAATTTTAGCATCTTTGTCCTTGAAAAAAATCGCATCAATAAAAGGCTAGATCATTTAAATTCTTACGTCTTCTCTTCACTCCTCTTCTCTTCTCTTCTCTTCTCTTCTCTTCTCTTCTCTTCTCTTCTCTTCTCTCTTCTCTTCTCTCTCTCTTCTCTCTTCTCTTCTCTTCTCTTCTCTTCTCTTCTCTTCTCTTCTCTTCTCTTCTCTTCTCTTCTCTTCTCTTTCCTTTCCTTTTCTTTTCTCGTTTGAACTAAGAGTGCCTTCAAAATTCTATTTCGATCTTCAAAGCGAGGTTACGATATCCTAAAGATCTCCATATTTTGTTACTCTTCTATTTCAGCGCTATCATTAATACGTTAACTCAAGTCCTTACACTTTTCGGGTTATGTCTCGTTGCGCAGCATCAGGTAAAATCTCAACATTCCTCAGCATAATGTCGGACAATTTTTCATGATACAATTTTTGTAACACTTATCTATTTCCTGGAATGGATGACCCTATTGATATTGGTATAATTTTTTTAAAAAAATGATAAAACACTAAAAATATGTAAAAATATATAAAATTACTAAATAAAAATATATATTAATAGTATAGAAGGCTCTAAAAAGAGCTTAATTTAAATAATGAAAATGTATCTAAAAAGCAAGTATAATTGTGTTTAAAAATTTTCAATTGAAGTTTTTGTTTAAGAAATAAGGATTCGCGATTTTCGTTTGTTATGCTAAAGATTTTTCGTGATAAAGTTTTCAAAAAATATATATGTAGACTGTGAAAAATTTCCGTTAGTTGAAATGACTATTGGTTGTATAAAGTTATTTAATTTTGAATATTTATTAATTTTTTTATTTTCCCCACAAGTAGGGTTTGTATTAATTGAAGAAGGAGAGATACGCAAGTTGCATCCCAAATAAGAGATTTCCCATTGGACCAGGGGGTGCAGGTTAAGCCGTTGGGCCTGAGGCCGTCTTGTAATGAGAGGTTGGTAGGTCCAAGGATGTTGGGTATTTAAGCCTTATTAAAAGCGTTATGTATGATTTTATTAATTGCTTTATGCCAGAGATGGCGTCCTTGGCTGCGAGTGCAGTTTAGACCGTGTCCAGCGTTAAGTTGAACGGGTAGGCTGCATTGGTGGCAGGAGTGTGAATGTGTAAGCCAGCATCCAAGTCTAAAGCTTATAGTAACACTCAGTTGGTCATTGGTTAAGAGATTATCTAAGGTTTGGCTTGGAAGTGCTTCGAGCCATTCATGCCCGCCGTATTTATGGTTGTTTTGTAAAAGTTTTATACCGCTGATTTCGGTAGGGTTAAGACTATTTTGTAATTTTTTTTATTAGGGGTTCGATGATAGATTTGTTAGAGATTTCGGAAGGAAATGTATAACCGTCTACGGAATTTACACAAGTTTAAAGGAATAAAAACCCCTACACAGAAAAATACAATCATTATCATCATATCTTAAGCCACGATCTCTATAAAAACTGTATCTCTTCATTAGAATCTTGTTGGCAAATTTCTTCTTCAATTTCGCAGTTGAAGAATTTACACGAATAACTGTAAAATTGTTTAATTTAATACTGTAATCAACAAAACCTCTTCCCTCCGAACATCTTGTTAGATGGGTTTAATAACTAGATAATTTTCTGATGTTAGTAAAGCGCCTAGTCAGTAATTATTAAAAAATTTGCTAACCCAATATTTCAGCCAGAATGATTATTACGCAAGTCCGAAGATTTTGTTTGTAGAAGTAACAAAGGTTTGGGACATCTATTATCAAAATCTTGAGGATCCCTTTAACAACACAAGTAGTCAGTGGAAATGGGTTCCCCGTTTTTCCGATTTTTAAAATTTTTTTTAATTTATAATTAGTAAAGCTAGTCATTATTTATTTTTTTTTTTAAATGTATAACGACATCAAATTACTTTTTAAAAGCTATTTTTTATATTTATAATCTTCAATAAATATAATTATAATTTTTATTATAATTATAATTGGTAAAAAAGATAGGGTAAGTAAAAGTTTAAAAAAAAGTAAGAAGGCGGGATCTGTGAGCCCATGTTTTAAAAACTTTGATAAGTTATTAGTATAGTTGGGTAATAGGTAAATGTCGGTTAATTAGGCTCGATCTTCAAGTGCCTGCCGGAGAATATCCTCCATAAGGCGTTTTAATGTATATTAGTTTCTTTTCCAAATTTGAGCTGCTATCTTTTTAACGAATTAGTATATTTTTAAACTTATATTTTATTAATCTCAGTGTCAGTAGATATTTATTTCAACTAAATCAATATATTGCTGAAATAATGTAAGGCGCCAAAAAGGCTTCTTAGATTATTTGATTTAAGTTGAGGCATTTACTTTAATTTTTATTTTACACGTTATATTTTAATATAGTTTTACATATTATATGCTAATTTTTTTTTTAAATTATAGATATTTTATTTATTTTAGACTTTATAATATGTAAAATTATATTTAAAATAAACATGTAAAAAAGATGTAAACAATTTTTTTTATTTAATAAAAAAAAGACAAAAATAGAAACTGTATAAAAAAATTTAAAAAAAATATTCTTGTAATGGTGAAAAAAAAAGCCAAAAGGGGCTCTCATTGAGATACGAGGAAACTAAAATATTTGCTTCTCAAAGAAGATCCATGATTCCCCATTGATTGGATAAAATTTTTATTAAACATAAAATCTTTTTTTATTTTTACTATTATTTTTTTAGGCAGTAAATAATATGAACAATATCTTATTTAAAAATAATTTAAAAAATAAAATAAGAATGTATTAAAAAGATTATTTTGTTTATAATATGACTTTAGAAATGGTTGATTATGAAAAAACAAAAATAGGGCTGAGGATAACTTGTAGATCCATTTTACTTTGAATTTTCGTGCTAGTCTCAGAAAGATATTTTTAAAAGTACGGGCAATTGGGAATTTAATTGGGTTTTGTTAAAAAAATATAGGCGTATGATAATCCAAAGAAATTTCTTATTAAAAAGGAATGATTTCATAATAGAAACCATATTCAAGTTTCTTTCGTATTCTCACAGAAATTTCACCGAGATTAGTTTAAGTCATCATAGTACAGAAAAATACTATTTCAAAATAAGTTAATATAATTATTAGTTTATATAAACTGAATCAAGCCTTAAAGATGATTAAATAAAAAGATTACAAATATAAGATACATGGGTAGTATATTGAGATAAAATAAAAAAAATAATGGTTAGTTAGAATAGAAAGAAAATTGCAAAAAAAAATAAGAATAAAATTTGGTGTTATATTAATTTAAATTAGACTATAGGTTTACCATTTTCATAAGCTTAATTACAATTATAAAAGATGTACTATAACCCTTAACTTTCCTATTTCTATTACCTAACTCTATGAAACAAAACTATCTTAGAAGTTTGAATTATATGTTTTAAGCTATGAAGACTTATCTTAGAAGTTTAATAATAGGCTCGAAAACTTATTATAATAATATTTATAAAATTTATTTTTTAAACAAAATATATAATATACCTCTAACAAATTTATATATTTTAGATAAAATTAAATATTTTAATATAATTTAACTTAACTCAATAAAGAAAAAAAATTAAAAATGAATAGTAATTTTACTTTTCCTATTAAAAGTAAATTTATAACCATTATAGTTTTAACATATAGATCTGTTATAATTTATTAGATCTAGAAAACCGGTTCAGAAAATACATAGTTTTTGATTTTATATATATATATACAAACATATTTATTCAAACATTTACTGTATCTTTTTTTGGTTAATAGTTGATCATCGGGTGGATAAAGGTATAATTAACTATAAAATATGTATTTTCATTATTTTTTTAAATATATCCTTACAATTTTTAAAAAAATTAATTTTATATAAAACTACAAATTTATTCATTAATTTTAAAGAGATATAGAGCAGAACTACGCAGATATAACTCTATATATCATCTTAGTAATTTAGTATATTAGAAATATTTGAATTATTTTTTTGGTCTCAAGAAATGTATTCACTGCTTTGCGGATCAATCAGATATTTATATTCCAAACAAACAGTTTGGTTCATGTTTCTATTTATATTTACACCTAAAAATTCCATTTAACAATAATTTTGTGAAAGTTCTTATAATTTCTATTTTCTTTTCTCCATATTTTTTAAAACATTATAGTTGAATAATTTTATTTTTATTTTATTTTTTCCTTGATCAATATAGCTTTAATAATAATGGAATAATAATCATTCGCGGCATTCATCCCATAGACAAAATCCCAATGATTAGCATTTTCGAATTGGAAATTGCCGGAGAGTTTTCTGATTAAGGGAACTAGCCTATTTACGTCTGTAGGATCTGCTAACCAATCCTTTTGCCCCCAGAATAACATCGTGGGAATTGTCATTTGAGATATATCGTATGCTGGAGGTGTAATCTAATTTTTTTAAAAAAAATTTTGATTACTATGAATCAAAGAGAAGAGGAGTTTAAGGTGACACAAGTGGTTGAGAGTCATATCCCCTTAACTATTTTTCTATTGTTAGTAGTAAGTAGGGCCACAAAACTTTCCTCCAGCATTTATTTATAACCTTCGACTTGTATATATGATTGGGATATTTAATCCCAGCAATAAAATATTCCTATAAAAAGGGTTTTTTAAGCGCATTTTCTAAATATTCTCATTCTATATTAATTTAGAGAAGGAACTAGAGGTCTGCATTGGTCAGGTTTCCTGCCCGCCCGCGGGCTAATAAAAAATTGTTCTTACGAACTTAAAAAATAAAAAGCCTTTTTCTGGTATAACTTTTTATAAAATAAATCAACTTTTTTCTTCAATTAAAAAACCTTTTTCTACAAATAAAAACAAACCTTTTTTCTATAAACAAATTAAAATCTCCTTTTATGGTAAATGAAATAAAACTTTTTTCTTAAAATATATAATTTTTTAGATATTGAAAATTAAAATTTCCTTTTTTGGGAAATAATGAAATTACTCAATTGTGTTATTTTATTTTAGTAATGATTGTTTATCTTTATATTGCCCTTTTTATTTTCATTTTTATTTTCTTATATAATATATAAATATTATTTTTTATAACATAATTTTAACAAAATAATATTTTTTAATTTAATTTTAAAATATGAATAAAGAATTGATTGCTAAGAAAATAAAAAATAATTTGTATAAGATAAAAAACAATGAAGATAATAATAATAAACTTAAATCGTCTATGTGGAAACAATTTAAAATTATTTTTGATGAAAATGACAAAAAGCTAGAATGGAATCGCTGCAATGATTGCGACTCCATCTTTAAATATAATAGCAAAAGTGGCACCTCCTTCTTCCTTCGGCATCAATGTTCATCTGCAAATTATGAAGATTTGATAGATAATAAAAAAATAACTGGATATTTTGAAAAAGACAATTCTCAATTAAACAAAACGATAAAATCTGGTCTAATAGCGAATTTTGTAGAATATTGCGCTAGAGACATTAGGTATTTTAATTTAATAAATTATTCTTTCATCTTTTTTAGGCCATTTCAAGCAGTTCAAGGACCTGGATTTATAAATATTTTACAAAGATTTGCCGACTTAGGGGCAACATATGGTAAATTGGATGTTAATAAGATCATCCCTTGTGCTACAACAGTTAGCCGCAACGTATTCAAATGCTACTTCTGAAAGAAAATTTAGCATTGCCGGAAGGTTTTTAGAACAAAGAAGAACATGTTTGAATCCCGAAAATGTGGAATTCATTATTATTTTTGCATTATAATTACTTATTTATATTTATTTTTATATTTTATATTTTATAAATAATTTTATTTGATAAAATAAAATTATCCATAATTTAAATTGAATATTTTTTAAGGCTTAATATAGTAATTTCCTAAATTATGAAACTTATAGAAGATGTAATGTTGAAACTATTTTTCATTTAGATGCTTAAAATAGCGGGCTTGGGTAAAAATTTTTTTTATAAATAATGGGCAGGCGGACAAGAAATTTTAGACTAATGGGCGGGCGGGTTTAAAATTTTTTTAAACATTGAGTCGGGGGGGGGGGCATATTATCCAAAAACCAGCCCAATGCAGACCTCTAGAAGGAACTGTATGTTGAAATTTTGTAATTTAATATGAACATTTTAAGTTTGATTTTATATTTTTTTTTACGTTTTAGTTTTATTTATGTTATTTTTTGAATGATTTTGATGATTATTTAATAAATTAAAACTGGCATCTTCGATTCGTGTTCATATTAAATTTCAACTTACAATAACTCTATATACGTCGTATAATATTTTTTTAATAGTTTACCTATCTAATACTCATTGGTGGCTCCCATAATCTCTTTATTTTAAATTTTCAAGGGGGGGGGGGATTTGATTTTACAACCTATAATATATGTAGCATTACTCTACTGAATTTCAGATAATTTAGCATTTAGCATATACGAGAATAACCAAAGACACCCCCGATATATATATTTAAAATCATTTTAGATAGAATTTTCATTTTCATTTTCAACTTAATAAAACTAGCGACTACACGATGGGCTGAAATTAAATAATAAAAAAAATTTTTTTTTTACCCATTATTAAGTGTGTACGAGTAAAAAAAATAAAGAAAAAGTATTCCCTAAAAATTTCCATCAATTTTTTTTAAGAGACTTGCAGAGGTGCCATTTGTAAGGCCCGGCCAGGCCCGGATTTTTTTTTCAAAAATTTTTTCCGGCCCGGCCCGACCCGGTTTATTTCCCGGGTAAATTTAAAAAATTAAAATACGGCCCGGCTAGGGGATCTTTATAAAACTGGCATTAAAAAGAAAGACACAATGTATAAATGAGGTTGTAAACCGTTCCGTACAATTTGAAGTTTTTGAAAGTTCCATAGTCGAACATGCGAAATTCGTCGTTCAAGACCCCTTGGGCATAGTGATCTATGTTTCTTACGGAGGTTCCCGCTGGGTAATGCTCGTAGTATACAGGTACTCGGCTCTAAAATTTAAATGATTAATAGAAAGTAGGTGTTGTTAAACCATCTAACTTTGACCAGCTTCTAAAAACCTCTTAGCCCAAGTTTATAATTCTAAAAAAAAAATAGTCTTTATCAGTAAATTAAGGCTAAACTTAGAACTGAAAGTCAATTCTTTGGGGGACTATTCATGAACTAACCATATTGGAGTTGGTCAAAGTTAGGTGATTTAACATCACTAAATAGATGTGAATAATACACTTAAGCTCTAAGCCTCTCCGTTTTTTTTAACAATTAATTTCGTTTTTTTAAAAAAAAAACTACTTAAAATCTGAATTCAATTTAATAATCACTTAACAAAAATATTAGGAACGGAATTTCTGATAAAAAAAAAGTTCGCCAAAGGTCGATATTTGGATGATTCAAAATCTAATAGCTTCCTAGACCACTCTCAGCATCTAACACCATAAACTTGCAATAGAGTCTATCTTTAATTCACCAGAAATACTTAAATTCCTAAACACCCTCCCCCCTCCCTAAACCTTTTAAATTATATTGGATGGAGGAAATTTATTTCTACTACTCTTTTGCTCGCCTAACGCACTGATGCTCTCGATAATATACTTTCTTTAAAACAGGGTTTCTTTCAATCTTTCAGTCTTTCTAGCTAATCCATTCGTCCATTCATGTCGTACATTCTTCCGTTAATGCTGTCTTTCTTTCTTTCTTTCTTTCTTTCTTTCTTTCTTTCTTTCTTTCTTTCTTTCTTTCTTTCTTTCTTTCTTTCTTTCTTTCTTTCTTTCCTACCTTAAGGTACTACCTATTTTGTATTTTGTTTATTTTTCATTTTGATAAGGACTACCAAATATATTTATAATAAATATTTGAAAAATCGTGATTTTTGGAAATCCTCTGTGGCCTAGTCGACAAGAACGTGGTTTACCAATCCGATGGTCATGGGTTCGAATCCCTGCAATGATCACGTTTTTTCCTTAATCTAACTTATTGGTTTCGTTCTTAGGGGGGGGGGGGGGGGTGATATATAGGAGGCCGGACTACCACGTGATTCCGTTATAATATATTAAATAATAAGGGTCTTATTTACATTTTAATAAATTTTGGTCGGTATTTAGCAAATTTGGATGGTATTTAGAAAATTCCTAAACGTCGACTTGGTAGTAAGCATCATTAACCTACATCTTTAACCTTTTTTTTTTAACAATCCTCCTATATGCTCATAATATTATATAATGCTTTACGAACATCGAAAAATCTGAAGACAATTATAAGCTAAATCCCAATAATTAGTGTGGGGATGTTGATATATAATTTACTCTAATACACAATTATAAAATTAAACTTCATTTAAATTTGCCGTCGGCGGACCTCCAACCAGGTAAAGCATATTAGAGCATATTTTGAGTAAAATTTTGCGGGGACAGATAGAGATGGCCATCCATTCTATTACAGAGGGACTAGGCAAAAATTCTTTCTTACCTTGAATAATATATATATATATATATATATATATAAATCTAAAAAAGATTAGGAAATTTAACTAATAAAATAGTCGATCTTAACATAAATTCGACAAGAAATAAATGCATTTTATAAATAGTTTCAAACGAATGAATCATGGAACACAAAATTTACCTAACATGTTTGTTATAAGATCTAAGGTCGATGAGAGAGGAGCGAATAATCTGATGGGGGATTCAATATTTTTTAAGTAGGCTATGGGAGCCAGCGCGAAAAACATCTTGATTTTATTATTCATCTTAGGGTTCTGGGAGAAATGGACGAATCCCACCATGCTCCCCTGGGAATGGCCTACGTAATATACGTATTCTCTGTTAGCCCTTTTGAGGATGAAATTGATGAAAGCAGGAATATCGTATTTGGCTATCTCGTCGATACTTAAAAAAAATATTATTAATATATATACAGTATAGTATATGTAACTGTATATGTAACGTGGCCTGGGGTATTTTAGAAATTTCAAGGTTTATTATCGTAATCTCTAAATATATAAATTAATTATATATCGCATATTTTTCTAACTTATAAACACTTATTTTGACGGTGTTTCCCTACTATATGTGTAGAGTTTATAATTGATATTTAAACAAATCTATAAATAAATTTCGATTTTAAAATCAAAAATTCAAAATTTCATGATTACTTGGGGATACAAATCGCGTAAAAATCGAGTCTTCAAAAAATTATTTTAGATGTTAAAGATTTGCAATGTATCCCGCCTTCCGATGTATAAAAATAAAGTTGGAAATAAATGGAACCTCCAATCCCAAAATTCGTCGACGTCGGTGGTGTAAATTCTGTGTTTCCTGGAGTATTTGTTACCTCTCGTATCGCCCAACCAGACGTCCAAATTAATATCGGCCAGTATATACGCTAAAAAAATTAAAGACATAGAAGAAGAGGAAGAAAATAACATTTATATATCACGATTCTTTAGTTTTTTAATAAACCTCTTATGAGGGTAGTCAATAGACTTTACGATTTTGCCTGCTGCTCTTCAATATGTGCTAAAAAAAATCTAAGGAGGGAAGGGGGTGGAGGTGTGGCGGCTCTGCTAATATTTACCAGGGGATCATAGACTATGCTTCTCGTACACTTATAAAATTTTAGCGTTTTTGATGTATATATTGGTTCTCAATCAACCTTGTTTAAAGCTGACATTAAACATTTTAAACTGATAACTAAGGCGCAAGCTTATTTGCGCTCGCTACAATTAGAAACGTCAATCTGGACTATATCATTCCAAATTTATTCCTTGCGATTCAACGCACCGTAAAAATCACACAATTTATACTCGGTGAGTGTGAGGGGGGGGGGGGTAGGAGTTGGAAAAAAAATATTTATCATTCATTCATTGATGAACAGTTTTAAAAAATTCAACCTAAACTCTGATTCTCCAGGTTCATCAAGAAATCGCAAGAGGAGCCCAGTAAACCGTGCTGTAAGTAAACTGAGGTCCTAACGTCTGACGTGTTGTTCCGTTTCTTTCCGAAGGGAATTCTATGCAATTGCAGGATAAAACCATCTTCCGTTATAACTTCGTATTTTTCGTAAGGGTAACCCTTGGATTTTATCAGCTCTTCCTATAATATAAATATATTATGTCGAATAATTTTCTCATACACACAAATAGATTAGGTAAGTATTGATATCATCGAAGACCCGATGTTTAGGTTAAATTTTTAGTAACCACTCCATTCATTTTCTAACCTCAACCCCATAACGAATATTTTTAGAAAACCGATTTTCCTAGCCCAATCTAGTGGATTTATATAAATAAAAATTGTGACTTCATTTTATTGCAAAAATTTAAAATAGGAATAATATACCCCCTCTCCCAACACCCAGATTTTTATAGCCCCCGTCTAATTAGGGTACGAATTTTATTTTTATTTCATTATGCCTCCCTCATGACCAGAATTTTTATTTTATAAAATTGTAACAAACTCTGCCCTTTCCGCGTCAGGGTATGTCAGGGTCCCAAGATTTCATTATTCCTCAAAATGTAACTAAAGTTATTTAGAAAAAAAATTTGTTTCACATAATTGCAAATAATTTATTTTTGTAAGGAGTATAAATTTGGTACAAAAGATGCATTACCGGCGTCATAGTTATTTCCGGATCTGTAGTAGGAACGTCTCTGAGGAATCTTTCTAGATAATCAAAACTATTGAGGTAAGGATCGATTTCCTGGTTTCCTACTACATAGATAGTCCCAGCATATTTCATCACGCCCAAGAATGAAATCAAGTACAGAATTAATACAAACATAAGTTTGGATTTTATTTTTCTTCTTTTATTTAATAAATTTAAAAAAAAAGGTTTTTTTTTCTCTAATCCTTTTTTTCTCCTATAATATATAAAAAAAAACTATTTGTTTAACCAGAATTTTTTGATCTTTATCTCAATTTCATACATCCTCTTTTAATAAAACAAAAACCAAAAACAACGTTAAAATTAAAATATTACTATAAAAAAATAATATATATATTTTTATGCAAAAAATAAATAAGGTATTCATAATAGCCCATCCCATTCTCGTGTGTTTTTAAAAATATATATATATAAACTTTTGAAAAAAATGAGTGTGGTAGGGAAAAAAAACGTATAAAATTAGATGAGAAGATTTAGGAATAAATACCTAGAGGAATAAAAATAATGCCTCGATTTGAATCGCATTGTAACGAATAATTGAATCGATATGGAAATCGTTTGTATAAATATATTCGGAATTAGCCGCATTACAAATTGGTTAATTATTACATTAATATAAATATTCAAAATTTATTATTTAAAATGATATAAATGATATGCTAGTGATATGTATCGTGCCTAATTTCTAAAATCCGGCCCTAACCCGAAATTTTTTTTTAAGAAAATTTACCGGCCCGACTCGAACAAGAAATTATTTTTTAAGAAAATTTACCGGCCAACTTATTTAAATATAGAAAAATTAAATTTTTATAATTTACTCAAAATAAAAGACATCGTGTTATTTGGCGTTCTAGTTCTATAAATAAAAATCAAATATTTTTATTTTACCTAAAAAATTCGATATAAAATTGATAAATTTGAATATATTTTTAAAAAAAATCCAAGGCCCGACTCGACCCGGCCCGGCCCGGCCCGACCCGAACTTTAGCAGATCTCTACGATATACCCCTTTAACAAATCTCTCATCTCGACATTGTACGCAGCACATGATATACACAATTGTTGTTATGAATTTGCGTGCTCCCTGCATGAGAATTCAACTTTCCGAAATTGGCCTCGTTTTGTAAACATGTTTATTTTTAAAAAATATCTTCAAATCATTTGCGTCTTTGCATATGGGGGAGGATTTGCATATTAACATTTGTTTATTATCATTTATATAAAAAAAATTTTTTTGCCAATTTTAGGGGTTTTGTTATATTATGAAAAATAGAATGAATATCACAGTTTTGTTAGGGAAACTAAGAGATAAAAAAAAAATATATAATCAGGTTAAAATTAATTTTACAGAGACTTTAAAATAAAAAAAAATATGTATATATATTTTATAAATTAATCTAATCTGTCAGTTTTTTTATTTTTATTTTTGGGACAAAATAACAATTTAACGTAAGGATCAATGTTGTTAAACGGGCTTTTTTCGCCAGGAAAATATTGCCTAAACGTCGAGATTTAGCCAATAGATGTTCAATCCTATGTGCCATCGATGAGAAGAATCTTTAGACCTGCGTAATATTGTTCTGGATATAATACTGTGTTAGCCCTTTTTTAAAAATCGCTTCAAAACGAGCCGTTTAACGACACCAATAAGGATAGAACGAATTTATTGTACCGCGAGATAAATATCTTTTTTTGTTCCTTCCCCACATATTTCCACAACTACGAAAAGATTCGCAATTTTTATTTTCGATGTTAGGGTCTTTTGATTTTATTTTTTTTTAAATCCACCAATATTTTTTAATGCTCGGTCCAACTTGACCCCGATTTTTTTTTTAAAGTCACATCATTATACCCCGGATATCGGTATGAACATCGGTGCTAATGTTGTTGTTAAAAAGTCCGATACCGGTTCGATTTTTTAAAAACCGCCAGATAAAGATTTTAGCAAAAATGTGCAAACCTCAAAATTTGGCAAAACAGATGTCCAAACCCTTCTGCCATCTACGAGTAACATCCTTTAGGCTTACATAATATCGAGTCAATTATTAGGGACCCTTGGTTCTCTGCTCTGCTCTGAATATAAAAAATAATATTAATTTATATTTAGTTTTGGGATAAAAAAATTTTAAAATATAATTAGCAAATTTTTTTCTAATTATTTATATCGTGATTATTAGTCGAATTTCGTATGAAGCTAATGTCTCTCTACTATAAAATTATTTATACGACGTTAGTGTCCTTAACGCTTCATTGCGCAGTTGAAACGAAAAATTCATACGAGTGACCCCAATTTAAAACCACTATATATTAAAAACAAATATTAATTTGTATCGTTTTCATATTTTAAAAATATATTAAATATACTTATAAATTAATGATAACAAGAGTTATTTTATCATTATATGACAGCTTCTGTCATGAGAGTCAAGTGACAAAATATTTTAAAATGTCACAATATAATATATTTATAAAATTGATGATGTAAGGAAATGTTTATTTAAAGGTCAAATATTAATATAATACAACTTTAAATTTTAAATGATAAATTTTTAAAAAAGTGTTTATTTATGCCTTAATATATCAATGCTATAACAGATGAAAAATAAATTTAAACGGATGAACAAGTGGGGTCTATATGACTCCAAGCTGCAAAAAACCTTTATGACTTTTGTATTATTGAAAAAATAAATCAAAATCAATTTTTCACATGTATACTTTATCTGAAAATGCTAAGCTAATAAAAGATTTCAAGGAAAAAAAAATCGAAAGAATAATTTTGAATATTAAAATTTTTAAAATGATTGAGGTTGTGCATAGTCTAACCTATGCAATGAAGGGTCAATATCAAATTATTAATTTTTTGTGTTTGAGACTATGTTCAAAACGCGAAGAAAGAAAAAATTATCAACTTTAGAAAAAAATTTTTTGTTCGGTAAGATTCTCAAGTGAAGATAACGATGCCAAAGGAATGGTTCCCAGTTATACCACGGGAAAAGAGGAAGAATTATTTTTATCAACAAAATATATCACATAATAAAATGACCAATCCATCTCGAAAAAATTATTTTAAAGCTGATTCAAAAAATGCAAGAATGAATAATTTAAAATTGAGAGAAAGCTTATGGATAATATAGAAATAATATTAAGAGCTAAAATAGTTAACAACTATAAATTTAAATAATAAATTTATAAAATTATAAATTAAACTATTAATGTTAAAAATATTTAAAATAAAATGTTATAAAATGACTTAAAATTTCAAAAAATAAAATGTAAAAAAATCATTAAAATATAGTAAAGTTGACTTAAAAAATATAAAAATGACAAGTTCAGTGGATGTCCATGTCAATTTTAATGCAATATCTTACGACAAACTAATATAGATACGGATATCAATCAAGACAATACCAAATGAATGTTGATAATACAACTATAACGATATCGAAAACAGCAACCCCGGAAAAATTAGGTATATCAAAGAGAGGAATGTTAATTTAAATATTCTCAAAAGCGAATAATAATATTAAATTTTATACTTCTAATCTTTCTTCTTAAATTATTTATTATTCATATTAAATTTTATAATAAATATTATTAACTTTACTCCAAAAATAGCCCGCTGTAAAACTATTTTCAAAAAAGTAGCTTTCTATTTAGCTACTTTTTTTAAAAAAAATAACGCCATCTACTTTTTGAATGTAGAATAGCTATTTTAATAGCTACTTTAAAAATAAAAATTGTATTTACATTTTTTTTTCATGTAAGGGTTAATAAATAAAATATTGCTGCTCCAAATATATTTACTTATAATCGTAAATAAAATCTTTATTAAGATTTTAAATTTAATAATACATAATAAAAAATATATATATATTATTTAAAATAATATATTACGTATTGACTTTTAAGAGAAGATTTTTCACAAAGTTTTCATTTAAAGAATATTTTTCTCCTCACCATTTTGTTAAACTTATGCAATGATTTTTCTCTGAAAATAGGGGGGGGGGGTTTAACTATTAGGTTGATTTCCACATAAAATATTATTGGAGGTCTCCACGTTCAGTAGTTATAAATATTTTAGTATTAGGTATATAATTGGATGATTTTAAAAATTTTGTAATTTAAACAACTTTTTATATCATTATTTTTATTATCCTCATCAAAAATATCATCAAATAAATCTAGACGCGAGATTCGCTCATTTGTTATGTGGTTTTGTTTAAAAGTTGAGATTGAAGAAAATAAAAATATAGCTCATGAATCTATGATATAGTTTATCTTTTACATGTTCCATATTTTAAACAAAGATCCAATTTTCCTATGATACCATCATTTTGATTTCAAAATAAAAATAATAGAATACAAGAAGTGAAAGGATTTAAATAAATTTACCTTTTTTTAAAAATTATATTCATTTTTATTAATATAATTTAATCATTAATATAATCATGCAACCTTAATTACAAATAAAATAATTATAATTAATTATATTATTCCTTTGTGGTTAAGAATATAAAATTTATGATGTAACATTATTTAAAGCATAAATAAATTAATATCCTTTAATATATTAATTAAACTAGTAGAAAGCCCGTCAAAAATGACGGGGAGTGGAGATTTTTATTCATTTTTTACGATAGATGTAATGCCAGGTTCAAGCTCACAATATTAGGAAGCATCCAAAATCTTAATTATAATGTTTATCAAGCCCAGCTCAACCCTTAATAATTTGTAAAAGATATTCCCAAGTCAGGTGCAAGTTAATATTAATTTTGAGGTTCCAAGTCCAGTCCTACCCATTATAATTTTGAAAATTTTTTCCCGTCTCGGAGATAGTTAAATTTTTAATATCATCACATGAACGGGAAATATCTGATTTACCAATTAGTCTAATATGGAAAAAAAACATGTAAATTTCGTATTAAGGGAAACTGGGAAGGCCTGGACAACCATTAGAGAATCATGACAAATAATATAAAAATAACCGATTCTTATACTTTTTTATAATATGATCAATTAAAATTATACCTAAAAAATATGTTGTTTTTTATATAAGTTTATTGTTGTTTTTCAGATAAATTTAATGTATGTCTTGTATTTCTGAAATTATTTGTCGAAGAATTTGATAAGGGATATATAGTTTTTTATGTTAAGTAAAAAAAAAAAATGCTGTATATTTAAATTACAAAAATGCCATTAAACACTAATGAAACTTATATGCAAATTATTTATATATTTTTTAAGATATTTTTTTATTGACATATAAATTTAGGATAATTTTTTTAAAAAATAATGAGGAATATTTATTATGTATTTGATAAAATTAAGAGCAAATCCTTGTTGACATTTTAATTTTTGATTGAAAAAGTGACAAAATAAATCTGGGCGGTCTTCTGGAGAGGAAATAATTAATATATCATTTTATATCATTTAGGGTTGTTGATGAAAGTAATGACGGATTACCAAAGCAGTGTACAAAACACAATACGTCCTGATAAAGATCATATGTCTATGAACAACGATATTTCTGTCAATGTCAGCATTGGTATCCCCCTCTAAAATAGAATCATGAACGACAATGTTAACTAAACCATAAAACGGTCGTAAGTATTGTTGTAAAGGCCACGACAGAACTACTGCATATTTTTCCATAAATAAAGTTGATGAAATTGGCTGTACTGTACATTCAAGTTTGAACACGCAAAACAATTTAATTTAATCTTATTGTATTTTTCTTGATTTGGTATTTACACTTTTTCTATTCATTAATCAAATCGAATTGTTATTACTTATATAAATTCAATAATAAAAATAAAGTAAGGAAATAGTGTTTTTTATTTACTTTCCCTCTAATACTTATCACAATCAAAATATTTTTCTGACTATATTTCTCCAACCCCTATCAGTTCTTAGCTTGGACCTCATAGTTCTATTCCACCTCTGACTCTAAGAAAAGATCTGTTGTTTTATATCATAAAAATTAAATCAACATAAATGAACTTTGTCATGGAAATAACTATTAACACTTAAAATAAAATTTAAAATCTAGATTTTAATATTCTTAGTTTTAGAAATCTTTACTTGAAGCCTTTTTTATAATTTTTTATAATTTTCTTTTTTTAAATGTTCTATTTCTATATATTTTTAAATACACAGATAAAAAAATTAAGATGATACAAATTTTTTAAACAAAGTTTTAAATATTCCTAAAATTTAACAAATCTAGAAATATTATTTAAATAATCAAGAAAATTTTTTTTTTGAAATTTTAATTTCATTTAAAAAATGGTTTCAAATTAAAAGGGGTTTCGATTTTAAAATAAAATACAATATCAACGATATTAAAATTAAATATTTGAAAAAGTGAAATAATAATATATAAAAAATTATATGAAAAAATATATTTATATAAATTTTATATAAAAAGTATTTAAAATAAACTTTAAAAAAAATGGTGGTGCATGTTACCCTAAGAGAGCAGTGAATGCTTAGGAATTGGATCGACAATTATAAAAACCTTAAATAATATTTAAATCTTGCAAAATGTTTTTGCAAGCTAAATTTGGCAATGATTGTCATCTAAAATTTATTAAAATATTTTAGGTATTGCTAAGTGTCACTAATAAAATCTATATTATCTAACATTTCATCAGTTATCCGTAAAATGCAAATATATTTTTTTTTGCAAATATGATGAAAAAACTTAAAAATATTAATGTAAATTAGTACCTCTATAATCATATGCTATTATAATGATTTAGGTATTAGGTTTGGGTTCTCAAAATACTTTTGAAGAAGAGTTTCTAAATTTAAATGATGAAGAAATTGATTATATGAATGATGAGACCTTTGATGATGAAGGTATTGATAGATAAAAGATATTAATATAAATATTTAATTTTGAAGATTGCTAATTTTTAATTATATTTTATTATCCTATATATAAAATATGCATAATTAAATTTTAATGGAATAATATTATAGTGCACCAATTAAATTTTTTTTAAAGAATTAATAGTTTATTTATAAATTTTATTAAATAACATAATATTTAAAACTACAAATATAAAAACAGTATTATTTAAAAAAATAGGAAAGAGTGATTGAACCATCCATTACAATATAAACAGATTAGACCATGTTGATCTATAGGGTCAGAATCTTTCCCACACCCTTTAAACTTATTGGATAGACATAGGAGCCTAGTCTATAGCCTATTGTCATGCTGATAAAGGAACTAAGTTAAGAGGGAGAAACTTCAAGCAATCTTGTTTGGTTCAAAGTTGGGCAATTTCCCAATATTAAACAAGGAAAAATGAGATAATCTCAGGGAAGTTTTTTAATTTTCAGGCCTAGACCTGAAAGGAAGGAACAGTTTAAAAATGAAGATAAGGCCCTAAAAAGATGTAAAAATTTAGGAAGTCACAGCGATTTTCTTATTAGATAATATATAAAGATTAATGGGCAAGAATATAGTAGACCTATCCTATTATTTGTTATTCATTATATGTTTTATAAAGTATATCAAAATTTTTTATTATAATTTACAAAAGGGCTCAAAGAGTGGAATGAAGAATGGCACGAAAAATATTTTAGCTTGGCAAAAGACAATCAAAATTCCCTACCCCATGATACTAATTTTTTGACAGATTTCAATGAAGCACCACCAGGGAAAGTGCAGGAGGAATATGGTACTAATGTTGTCGCTTCCCACTTTGACTACGATGAAAATTTTGAGGTTATATTTATATCTACTATAAGATAAGAATGTAAGAAAGTATTAGTAGTACCCCAACTCTGTTTTATAATGAATGATTTTCTATTAGAGCTATGTTCAGCATTGATTTTTTTAAGGTTCTGTTTGAGAGCAGAACTTGACTCGATTCCAATTTTACAAAGTCTTCAGTTTATAAATTTAAAAACATTTAAAAATAAGAAAAATGCGATGAAGAATGTTTTTCAAATTAAAGAAAAGAAGAAAAAAAAGAAAGAGAGAAAGAAAGAAGAACTTATATAAAATTTTATTAAAAAAAAATGAAAAATACAAGGATTGAACTATTTTATTTTATATCTTAATCTGCTTCAAGATAATAAATTCCTTATGAATCTTGGCTTTGATTTGATTGGATAGTATTTTCTATCTATTGACATTTATGGACGTTTTTTAGTATCTTTTTTTCAAGAAGAATATAAGTTGCTTATAAATTTTTATATGGATCCGATAATTATAAATGTTATAAATAAAACGTGAGAGTTTTGTTATTACATTTTTTTGCAAAATGAAAAAAAAATTAGAAAAACTAATAAAAAATTACCAGTTTTTTATTATCTTGTTATGATGATTTCCAATATTGAAAAATTAATCCTTATTTAAAAATAAATACCTCTCACTTACAACTTAGCGTTTCTTGTAGAGATTTTGATTAGTCTAGGTCAGCTTATTTTGTGTTTAATGCCTTTTTAGCCAACTTTTGTATTCATTGCCTTTTTAGACACACACTTTTGAAAAATTTGAACGTTTGTTTTAGTCCTGGGAAGTTTTGTATATAACACCCTTTAGATACCACTTTTGAAAAATAGTTTATTGTCAAAATTTAATTAGGAATCCCAAATTTTTTTGAAAATTAATTAATTAATTATGTTATTTATCTATTTTTTTTACTAAGTTATTTTTTTTTGTTAGTACAATCATTTCTTTTAATTTTTTTTGTTTCATTCAATTATTTCTTTTAATTTTTTATTTTTTTTGTTCAATTCAATTGTTTAACTTTATTTTAAGTAAATATAACTGATATAAAAATGGTATTATGAAAAAGAGAAAATTATATAACGATTTTTTATTGAAGACGAAAATTTATATAAAGGCGAGAAATATAAAATTATAATTAAGGAGAGATAAAGGATGAGAAACTAGAAAGAGGTAGAAAATAATATGTAAAGAGTATAGTTGAGTAAATCGAATTTCTAGCCGGAATCGACAAAACAAGTTTTTAGCCAAAAACGATCACTTTGGCCTCGGAGTTTTCCTTGAAAAGATGGCATCTCAAATTTGGAAGAAATTTATGAAAATTAAAGCGCTTTAATGTTTAACGGATTTTCTCTTGGCAACTGCCTGAAGATTGAGCCCGACATTTAGCCAATACCCAATTGTAATAAAGAGGGCCATGAAAGATGATTGGATGGAAGAAAAAATAACCTAGGTAGTTCGAGCGAATGCGGTAGCAACTTTACTTAAAAAAAAAGCTTCCTTGGGTTGATCTGTCTTTCCACGAATCCGTCTCCCTAATTCTTTGTTGCCACCTAAAGTGGATAGAATGAAGCAGACTATTGGTATGAATGAGTAAGGAGAATCGATGAGCTGTATTTCGTGATTTTCCGCGTTTCTGCAAGGCAATAGCATTGACCTTTTGGTTGGATGGTGCGTTTGGATTATGCAGGTGAAGTCATAAACCAGAAGCTTGACCCTAAACAAAGGATTTGAGGATTATCCATCTGGATGGTCTTTCTGAATATTCCAGTTGGTTCGAGTCTAGAGGAAATGCTCACCCGATTTAAGTGCTAGCAAAACAATGTCCTGGTATAGCGTGAGAAACGGCCAGCGACAACGGAGGCAATATCTACCCTTGCCATCTACACTTGGTTTCACAATGTTTGCATTTAGTAAGGTAAAACAATTTCGCACTTGAGTCGTAATCCAATAGAAACTCTTAGCTTATCTGCGGAAAGGAGAAAACCTAGATTGTTGGAGGGTATGGTTTCTAGAACTCGTAACCGATCCTCGGTTCACATTGTGAAAAACTGAAATCGTCATCATGAAGGCTTGATTTTAGACAAGCGACGGAACCTTTATTGAGTTAATTGCATTTTCATTTAAATTCTTTTGATTAAAATTTGTAGATTGCAAAAATTATTTTGTATAATAAAATATTTATAATTGTCTAAAAAATTTACAAAATAAGATTTACTTTTAAAATATAGCTGTAACGAGCTATTTTTTAAAAAAAATGCATCTTATATAACTAGTTACTTTTCAAAAGTAACTTCTAAAATATACTAATGGGATAGACATTATAATGATACATAGCCTGCCTAAGTCATTCATTACATAAGATAATAAGACCCTTTCATTGAATTGGCCCTTCAAATTTTATGATTATAGTATATTACAGATCCCCCTCAAACCCTATGACAAAAGAACCCCATGCTTAAAATACAAATTTATTCGATTACAAAATGAATACTGACTTATACATTGACACACTAAGAGGCTTTAATTCATACGTCCCTTGTCAAGGAATTTTTAGTATTTAATATTGGTTAAGATTTAAAGTATAGGCCGGTGCAGAAACTGACCGATCTTATGCTCAAAGCTCTTGATTCGTTTTGAACCACGCTTCTATCTCCATTTAAATCAATTTTTGGTCGTGGGGCTCATATAAAGGCTGTTTCGCCTAAATTAACGAACGCGGGCGGGTGCTAATGACAAGTATTTGCGAGGGGTGTGAACGAAAATCAGGGTTCATGGACCTTTGAGACCACAGGTGAACAACCCATTTAACCCGGGGTTATATGGACTCGGGACAGGTTCGGGCCATTTTCAGAAAATTTGGCTTCCACTAAGTTCCTATTATCAAAATTATCGCCAAATAGAGTTCAAAATTTTCTGAACGGATTCCCAAACCCCGTTTTGCATTTCCTTGTCAACCATTTTGGATATCTAAAAAGCGATTCTGAAACCTGGATTAAAAAATCTAAAAAAAAATATTTCATGTTCTGAATTTTTTTTTTATCTTGTTTCCTACGAATTAGTAACGATAAAGCATTTCCGGTCTCAGAATTGATCCTGTTCTGACGATATCCGCTTCTGATCCCAAGCTGCGTTAATAAGAAATCGATACAATTTTGTCAAATAAATCGATATATTTTTTAAAAAAAAAATATTGGAAGAAGCAAGGCCCCAATCCTAAATAAATTTGGGACGGAAGTAGGAGGGGACAAATAATTTTTATTTTCGGGACAAATAATTTCGCGCGCCATGGCAGGCTTAAAAAAAAATTTCGGCCCGATGCAGGCCACATGTATAGCTTTCACCTTTTTTTTGTTAGAGTCGATTCAGGAATATTTTTCAAAATGGCTCCTTAGGTTCCTATAAAGTTTATGGAAGTGTTCTCGGCATTTCCGGTCCCAAAGATTCTTAATTATTTCCTTAATTATCGATTTAATTTTTTTTTTTAAATTTCTTGTTATAATGATGTAAAAAAAACCAAATTAAATTATAATATTATATATTTTAAAAAATAAATTTAAAAAATTGGTAAATGTCACTCTCTCACGCATTTAATTTGTGTTTAAAATTATCGTTTAAATTCTAATTTCCTGTTCATAAAATCATATGTTTTTAAAATAATTGATTATTCTTTTCCATTCCTATTCTATCATTAAGTCTAGTCTCCAGCAAACGTATTCTTTAATTTCATTCCTTTTTAATATATAAAAAGTTTTTTATTTACCTTTTATAATCAAATCAAATGGAATCATATTACATGTTTTTTATACTCTCCATTTTTGGGGGTAGGTGGATAAGCTATAGCTTAGTTAAGGTCCAAGGACCGAAACTAGAAGACCAAGACCGAATTTTTGTTGTAAAAAGTCTCGCAAGACAACCCCCTTATTTAGACTCGGAACAAAGCAAAGCATAAAATAAGGAACTATTAAATATTATGTATAGCCTTTAGTATTTATGACTTTTTTGCTCTAACATTTCGTTTTTAGTGAAAACATGCGGAAACGCGAATGGCCTTGTAAAACCTCAATTTTTAATAGGGGAAATTATATCCCGCTTAACCCGAATATTATTAATAATGACAATATTATTTTTATGTATATAATTCATTTCCGATGGGGGGTTTTTTATTTTAAAAAATAATAATATAATGTTCGAACCAGTTGTCGAGTTTTACCATCTTAATGCTAATTCGATCGGCGAGCGTTAAAGAGAAGACACGATAACTATGGGCTGTCACACTTAGTGTGGAGGTCTGCATTGGGTGGTTATGGGGGTTATTTAGTCCCGGCTCTTCGCCGCTACCCGCCAAATTGTTTAAACCCGTCCGCGCAGCCCGGGATTTTGGGCTGGGGCACGTTAGGTCTTCTAATATTTTACCAGCGATTTAAATTACTCGTTCTATAAATACCCAATAAATATAATAACTCTAAATTTTTTTACTTTAAAAAAAAACAGATTTATATTTTATAGATATATTATAACGGTAATAATAGGTCAATTAATTAAATTTATTTGGTTAAAACTTATAAATATTTTCAAACTAAAAAAAAAATAACAATAATGACTAATTGAAAACTAACTGACCTATAATTTATTCCGAATTTAGTCGAACTCGAAAATCTAAATTTTATCTCTCTATCCAATCACAAAGGTGGAAAGGGTATCATCCACTAATATTGAAGCAAACAAAGCTAGCAGAAAGAAAAAAAAAGAAAGGAAAAGTTATATAGAATAATTATTATCTAGGCTGGATAAATAAAGAATTTTTTTTTAAAAAACTATGCCTCTTTTTTTTTTTGCAAACAAACACTCATTTAGATTATTTTGCACGGCACGGCCCGGATTTTTATATTTTCGAGCCCGGACCGGATATTTAAAAAAAAATTAAATACGGGTCTCGGTCTTAGTGCCGGGCCCGCAGGTCTCTGTACCCTTAATTGTATTAAAAAGCCAGCTGGAATACCAATTTCTAAAAGCAGATTTTTTTTTAAAGTTTCATAAGGCTAATTTGGCGTCGTCAAATTGCGCCTCATTTTTTTATAAACTATATTAATAAACGCTCTAAATGATTTAATTTGGACATGTACCTGAATAAGTATTTATCATAAATTCGAACCTATTTTTTGTGTATCCTCTATTCCGCGTGGATTTGGCATTTTTATCTCTTTCCGGCAAATGCGTTATTTTTTCAACTATACCCGAAATGTATTCCGGCACGTTTTCGAATGCCAATCTTATATTAAATTACAGACAATTTTGTTGATAACCAACCCTTATTTTGTATCGAAATGTAACTGATTTTAGAAAATAAAGTTATACGGTGATGATCCGGTTATGATTAATTTAGGGTAGAATACTTCTTTTCTATATTATTTAAATTCATTCCCCCTTTTTGCTCTCATCAAATGGCTAAAAGAGAAACTGAACTAGATTATTTACTTTAATAAATATGACAAATTCAAATTTCAGTTATTATTTTTACCTTGACTAGAATGCATTGAAGCATCTTCTAATACGAATGAACTGGGGGTGGCCATTTTTCATCTCCATTATAATTATAAGAATCTTTTATGAATAGGTGGAAATCTTTTTTTTTAAAGGATTTCGTAAAATTTTAATTACAATTTTCGCGTATGGGAAACGAAAATGGCGCTACTAACTGATTCACGGTGATACGTATTACCCAAGCCTCAACTTAATATCATAATACCATATTTATATTTCGCTTGTTAAACGTTTTTATAGGAATTTTTTTAAATTTATCGATAATTGGGTGAAGTGATCATCCTGGTCAGTTAAGTGTATACGTGTTTTGGCACGAACTATCGGGCGTGGCTGTATAGATATTTAATTTAAATTTAACCTCGGGGGGAGTTTAAGGCTCTAAGGAATACGACGTGTTTTGTCAGTACGTGTTATATATATCTGTATTGCTTATACATTTTTAATGAACGTCTGGCAAATATTTTCAGGAAGATCTGATAGCAAACGTTACATCCTTCGTATTGGACGATTACGACAAAAAAACGTCTCTACCTCCCGCTTACTCGCGTACCCCAGAAATTCTAGACCCGGCGAATGGGAGTGACCCGTGGACAGGCATCGCTAATGTCGACGACGGAATGCGAGACCCCGCGATTCTTATATCCGAATCGTCTCTCGACGATGTTTCGAAACCTGATCCCTATACCACTCTAGTAATACATTTAATATAGATATTAGCAAATCCCGGCCTCTGGGTTGGACCTGTGTAAACCTTCTGAAATAATACATACACCTTTCTTTAGAACCAATTCTGAATCCTGAATTTTAAAAGGGAGGTTCTAATTCTTAATCATAAGATATCTTAAGGCGAGATCTCGGAAAATATTTTAAGCCATTTCTGTCCATCCTAAATCCTTCCCTTTCCCACCTAGTGATATGTAATTAATTACGTCCTGATACTTGAGAATCATGTTGGAATAAGGAGGGATCCCATTGGATACCTTGAAAGTTACTTTTTTGCTTAAATTTAAACCGATACATTTTTTTTACTAACCAACTAAAATCGTTACATTTTAAAGGCGCGGTCAACCTACAAAAGTTCTACGACTCCCGCCGATTCTTTCTTCGTAAATTCCGAACTTTCGAAACTCCAATCGTTTTACGAAAAATTTATGATCGAAGCCTCCGGATTATGTAAAAATATGTTTTCTTTTGTTAATTTTTTCTTCTCTCATTCTTTCTTTCATTCTTTCGTACAAACATTGAATATTTTATTTTTAAATGGAAGAGAAAAAAAATATGGTCTTATTGTTTGTATTGGAGAACTTCTTTTTTTTTCTTCCCACTAAAAAAAAAATAAAAATCATTAAAATGGTTTGTATTATGCATCCTTCGGTGGAAGTAAAGGATTAGGGTCGTTTTACAGTGAGAACGGACCGTACCGACTGGTCTTTGCGTTTCGGTGCTGGTGGTAATTTAGAACAGTTACCCAATGCGATCTTAGAATTTAGGGTTTAACCTAAAATCCGCTACTAGCCTTCGCCAAATTTTGATTGTTATCAATCGGAAAAAAATGGTTGCTTAATATTTTCACGTCATATTTATGTTTCAGCTTCAAAGGATGTCTCAAAAGAGCCCGACGCGTTTTCTTTTTCATCAAATTTTCCCATGTTTCCACCTATCAATATTACTACCACCGCGCAGCCGCCTCAACCCAAGTCTGCCCTCGAGATGACAGCTCGGTTAACGCCTAGGAATGAAAAGGGTTTTCTTTTTTTATGACTAGTCATTTCCTTTGGCATTTTCACCTAGTAAGAAGTTCTTGTAAATTCTTTTTAGATTCCGACATGATATAAGACCATTTTTTTTCTTCTAGAACATATAATTAATCCTGTTTTTGGGGTATTAGTTGTCATTTAAAAATATTTTTTTAAAAAAATTAAAATTTTTAATCAAATCTAACTCTGGTCTTTGTTAGGACGTGTTAACCACTAGGGTAATTTTACCGCCTCTCTTGAGCGCCGGCAAACATTTTCGTTTGCTCGAACAACCCTCTCATTCATAGTTAGCGGGAATTTGCGGCGAATTATACAAAAATACGCTGTAATTTTTGTATTCTCCATCTTGGAATTTGCGTTAACTGTGAATGAGGGGTTGTCCTGCATTCACGGGTAACACGATTTCACGGTGATGTACACAAAATATGCTGATTTTTTTGTGTATTTTGATATACTTAGCCGACGAATTCACTCTAATTGTGAATTCAGGTTAATACAGTTAGCAAAGGGCATTTGACTACGGGACCTTTTTTCTCTAGAGTAAGCAAAGTTAGTATTTTCAGTATAGCTTTTAGCTTCCCAGCTCCTTGAGGAACTCCGTGAGTTGTTATTGTTCCAGCCATGAGGAAAATAAAGAAATCCAAATTTTAATTTTATAAGAGGATGTTGGGATCAGTAACGCTTGGGGGCTTAGAAGCGTCTAAGAAAGATTAAGAGAAGGCTCTGTGCTTTCCCTCCTTTCTGGGAAAACTATAAAAACGTTTACTTACTCAAGCATTATTTAGATTATAATTATATTTAAAAAAAAAAATTTTTGGCCCACAAAGTAGCTACGAACCTTGCTAACCTGAATGGCCTATTTTCGGAGATTTTTGGTGCTATCCATCCTCAAAAGACTTCCAATTCTGAAATGTCTTTCAATTCTGGAAAGTCTTCAAGCCTCTTTCCCCCTTACATTAATAAAGATAGTGGTACCGGTAAAAACAACATCGGAAATACGAGAGACAGCCAAAGAGCTGGGAGAACATATGATACAGATCATCATTCAAGTTTCTTCAATAATTGATGTTCATATTAGAGCCTTAACTAGTCTAAGCGAAAGTAAACCGGAAGTCAGGCTTGAGCCAATAAAAATTTAGGCATTGAGCCAGACTTGGGCTCGATAAAAAAAATAATAACTAGAAAATGGTGCTTAACTTTTCTTTTAAGCACTGACGCCATTATTATCACTTCCAAAAGTTCGAAAATGATTGACGTCAATGTTGAAAAATATGGAAAAAGTAAGTAAGCTTAGTTTTTGCTAATTTTTTTTATATATTAGGACCACATTTTACCGATTCGATCCGATACTTGGCGAAATTCGCAAACCTGATCTGATACACCGAAACCTACCGATATTACCTAAAGCCAAAGGATATCCGCACTGTTATTCATAAAACAGCTGTTTCCAATACCCGTATTCACAAAAAACCGGTAACGATACCGACATTTTATTAAATATTTGCAAAACCGGTTCGCGTCCAATCAATAAATGGCTATAGCCTCCTATAGATTATCGGACGTTATTTACTATTTTTTAAAAAAAATCTTTTTTGTTTATTTCGTACAAAAAAGCATGGATTTAAAATATTTTCCTTTGGAAAAAAAATCTTCAAATTTATTGTGAAATGTATTTGAATTTTTATTTTTATTTGAAAAAAAATAGCCAATGTATTAAATTAGAGAAAATAATAAATAATTAAATAAAAAGGAAAATAAAGAATGAAAGAAATATTATATATATGTAAAAAATAATGATTACTCCTAGTATCTGTTCAAAACATATTCAGCACTTACTTTTCTAACCAATTTCCTGTTCATTTTTTTTTGCTTCATGCCAGAGTCCATTGGATCTAAAGTACATGCGCGTTTGTCCAACAGCTGCTTTTTATTGAATTATTTTTTTATATCTTTATCATTTGCAATATTATCATCTCTAATCACAAATTATAACTCTCCAAAACTAATTATCCGTAATCGATATGATGATATCGGTATTCGAAAATTGGAATAAAATACGAATACTAATTAATGGATTCGATTTGTAATTTTATAGACCCGATCAGAGTTGTTAAACGCTACTTTTAAAAGTAGCACGCTACCTCTATCGCTATTTGTCAAAAAAAGTAGCTCGCTATTAGCTACTATTTTTTAAAAGTAGCTTTAGCTACTTTTTAAGCTACTTTCTATAAAAAAAATTTACAAACAAATTATTTATTTTTTGCTTATAATGTTATTGTATAGTAAATATATAAAAATCAACATTTATAAATAATTAGTTTTGATTATAAAAAAAATTATGTAATAAAAATAAATATTTGTGGTAATTTGTTGCATTTAATAATAAAATCATTTCAATATCATCATCCCCAAGTCTAGAGCGACGATCAGAAAGTTTAAGTTTTGCCTTAAATAATCTCTTGACACTAGCACTTGAGGGTAAGGGCGTATTTAATCTTATATACATATTTTTAATATAAGATAGATTATCAAAAATTTTATTTGCAAAACATCGTATGTCTGGCATCCTATTATCATTTTGAGGGCTAATGCCACAGATTCTTTTTAAAGTTCGAGGGTCTAGCCAATGGCCTGTGATTCCCAAATAAGCTCAAAAATATTTAATCAGATCATTTATAAATATAAATAAGTTTTTACCTTCTGTTATGTGTTCAACTATCACCCATGGTACATTGATATCTCTGATAACTCTACTATTAGAGCATCTTTCATCATTTAAAGGTATCTGCTATTTTATTCATTAGTGTCTGGCGGCATAAAATTGTTGTACCAGGGGATAGAGTTTTAATCATCATGGTAAATGATGGATTATCAACTAAGGACATTGGCTGAACTGTATAAATTATAAAATCAACATAACTTTATCAGCCATTTTCTGAGAAATATTGTCATTTGCATTATTAATTAATTTGGTATGATATGAATTAGTCTTTTTGGATGTAGAGTCGCTACCAAAATATTTAGATATTTACCAAAATTATTTAGATGTTTCTCCATTTCCTTAAAACTCATGAACAATCTTATAAAATAAATATTATTAGAATGTAGAAATGGCAATTTACCTTTAGGTGTTTCTTGAGGTTATAGCTACTGGATTGATTTTAGGAAATATTTTTTTTACATTTTAAACATATAAATTTGAAACCAGTTTTGGTTATATATTTATTTTAAAAAAATTTAAATCTAGGGAATGGAAAATTTGTATTATAGCTATTAAGAACATTTTCTTCCATGGTATCTTCTATTTCATTAATATCATGGTCTGAATCACTTTCAACGATTTGGATATCCATAGGCGATGACATTTTAAATTATTAACACGTGATTTCGGTTTATAATACAAATGAAAAGATAAATTACAAATTGAATTATATTTTCATTTCAAAATTAAATAATAAATCATTAATTTCAAAATTAAATAATAAATCATAAAAATTATAATTAATTATGATATTATATTTAAATTTTCATGTTTACACTTACCTTCATTATATTTTTTAAAAGTAGCGAAGTAGCGGCTACTTAGCTACTTTTAAAAAAAGTGCGCTAAAAAATTAAATAATTACTAAAAAAGTAGCCGCTATTAGCTATTGCTACCAAAGAAATTAGCGCGCTACTTTAACAACTCTGGACCCGATCCCGTATAATTACTTTTCAAAAAGATTTCCCGGCAAACATGATTTTATTTATTTAACCCAATGTTTGATATAGTATGTCGGTATTGATTAAAATCGAATAATAATCACGATTTAAATAAATCGACGATTTTTTAATTATTTATTTGAATTAACATTACGATTTAAATTTTAAACCAATTTATTTCCATTTTTTAATAATTATTGGTTTTTTTTTACCTTATTTTGCATATAAATTTTAATTGCTTTATCTAATTAATTAAATAATTTAATATAATGCTATACATTATATTAATCTACAAATTATTATTTTTTGATTAATTCAGGTTTTATATAAAAAAATATTAGTTATAAAATTAAAATAATCATAATTTTTTATGTGTTAAATAAGTGTTAATGGGAGAAAAAACGATAATTAATATAAATAAATTATAAAGTATCATGATTTGATCAGATAATCGATATTTTAAAATTATCATTATTTTTGCCAATCCAAAACTATGATACATGATATCTTATGTAAATTTATATAATCAAAACAAGGGCTAAATAAACAAGAAGATGAAAACTCTGCCAATTATCGATCTAGGAATTTTAAAGACGTCACCAGTGGTTGGCCCGTCTTCCCTCTCCACAAACGTCCGCAGGGGGACAAAAATTGCTCTAAAAATTTCCGGGACCCGGCGAATGACCAAAACGAAATCATAGCTATCGAGTACCCTTTGCGCAAATCTACCCCGGAACCTAATAAAATTTCTTCTAGGGCAGATCACGATACTCATAACAATTACAACCCTGTCAAAAGCCAAAATTCCGCCAGAACCGTTAATCATATAAATGGTCAAAGATTTCGGAATGATCAATTTGGAAGAGAAGATAGGAGTCTCAGGCCGAGGTTAGTAGTTGTGCAGCATCATAAAAAAAGAATCCCTATTCCCATTTGCTTGTTGTTCAGTTTAATAACATTCTTAATAGTGTTTTTGGATCAGTTTACTGTAAACCTTATAACCTGTACAAATATGTTATTATTCCATTTAATCCTATTTCGTGTATAATCCCTGAAAATTATTAATACCCCCATAGAAATTCTTACGTTTTTTGGACTTATACATTAATTTTAGAAGCAAGACCTAAATATTAACCGTTATTTTTTTTATGAGATCTTTCTGATATCTCTCATTGTTGGGAATTGGCCTGCTCATTATTCAGTTTCCACCTATTTTTCCATAAATCCTTTTGAATTATTTTGATAGTTTCTTGGAAATTTCTTCCCGAATATTATTATTTTTTTTTTTTAAATGAAGGATATTTATTTTATATTTTGTTTACACAACTTATACCCAAAGACTTAAATCTGACTCCAGATCCAGAAATGTCGAAAATAATCGGGCTGACCCTTACGCTGACCTGATGAGCAAAAAGGAGAAGAACTTGATCCTGAAGATACAGCTTTTCCAGTTGCAATGCGATAACCCTTACCTAGAGGATTACTATTACGCAGTAATGTTATGTTTTATAAATAAATAAAAAAAGATTTTGAAAAAAAAATGAGGAAATGAGGAAAAAAATAAAACTAAAAAAAATTAACATTCAAAAATAAAAAGATGAGTACGATGAAGCATATGCTAACTAAAGAGAAGGACGTTGTCTTCACGTGCCCCACTCGAAATGAGTCGCCCTATATGGACCACTGCCAGATGGGACCGAATGAGCAAAAGGATCTCCTGCTGTTCGACATATCCAAGTTCATAGTTCCTTCAAAGGATGTCGACATCTTCCACAACAACAGGCAACAAATCGCCCCCACCGAAAGCGCGGAGATAAATAGCGACGATAAAAGCGGGGTCCTAACAAACGCGGGCGGAAAAGAGGAAAAAGTAAATGAATATGATTTTACGAAATTTTAGGTGAAATAGAATGTATAAATTCTGTACTGATTGAATATAACATTTTTTAAAATAGGCTAAAGTTTTAGAAAATGAGATCAGCCTACCCGCGAGAAACGAAGAGCGGCAAAGAATCGATAAAGATTCAAATAATCAAATAATTGGCGGGGACCAGAAAAATGGCGGTAATACTTTTTTAAAAAAGTAAAATTTTAGAAATCTTGTTAGCACCTGACAAGTGTAGTGCATTAGGTTCAATCGTCCATCTTTACTCCCTCCACCAAGGGTCTTTATCTAAGAAATTCATGATTATAATTTCTAAATCAAATATACGTTAATTATTGATAATTGATTGACATGAATCATATGTTTTTGAATAAGGAAAAATAATTTTAAAAAAAAATATATTCCCTCAAAATTTTAACCTTCTCTCAAGATCATTCGTTTGGCAAACAATCGTTCGCCACTATACACCAACCCCACGTATTACTGGATATCGAATCGCGCAAGAATCTCGCTAAGACCGCCAAAACTGCGAACAGTGATACTCCTACAGACTTGGCTGGATTCAAAATGAATATCGTCAAATATCGCCAATTGCTACTTTTCATCGAAAATGTATATATATATTTTTTTAAACTATATTCCTCTTCGTATTATATATTCGGGCTAACTAATGATTTTTTTTAAAATATTTTTATTATGTATTGTAAAAAAAAATTCTTCTTCCATAAAACCGATTTTGGATTATTGTTCATAATGTTTGCCTGTTCTTCTTCTTTTGCCAGATTCAGGATTTAGGCCAATCCTTATTTGATTACCTACATTTCCTTTCGCTCTTTGAATTTTATAAGTTTTTCCACGATTCCTGTTGAATGTAATCCGCAAACAAATTTTATTAAATGACACATTTATTTCTCTATAATAATAATTTTTACGCATTTTACGAGAATTATATAAATCTCAATGTTATATACTTTTTACTATACCTTTTGCGTAATCGTTACCTACAATTCACAATGCCTTTCTTTTAAATTATTTTAATCTCCCTCCTTACAGATAAAATTGATTAACTTTTTAAATATATATTTTTTGTTAAAAAAATAGACATTATTCTAATGTAGAATCGATATAATTTTTTGAGGGTTAATATTTAATTTTGTGAGTATCTTTTATCTTAAAAGTATCGACCGATAACTATACTAAAAAAATAAAATTATATTCAATTTTTTTTAAATATGATAATATAGCTCTATTCCGAACTGCTCGATATAGACGATCCCCAGAGAAAATTGATAGCCTTATCACGAGGACAAACCAAGTTTATATATAAAATGCTCTAAAATTTAGGAGGTGGGGTGGGTGAGCTGGTATTAGAGTTTCCAGACATTGTGTAGAATTTTTCTTTACTTCGAAATTCGGTTCCTACTTACATTTTTGGGAGAAAAATTTTTTTTGGTCATTATTTTTCATATATATTTAATCAATTATTTAAAAAAGTAATCCCTCCCCCTATGTTTGTATTATGAAGACACCAATGATATATAATAATACCTCGACTGACGATGCATTTATTAAAAGTCTACATCAATGTAAAACAGCTGGGGACGCCATTTTGGTTGCTAGTATCATTATTAAACATTTTAAACGAGAAGGCCAATTTATTTCTATGCCTGACGCAAACTTTATTAAAGAATTCCCTGATCATAGAGGTAATAGGGAAGCAAGTTATCAATTTAATAGTAGTTTTTAACATGAGTATAATTACTATATTGGTTACCAAAATGGTGGGCCCAGCTGATTTGCAAACAACGCTTTCAAATGCATTATTATGATTACATAAGTCTAGGTATTATTATATGTCATTGGGAGACACTTGATAGCACTACATTTTGAATAAATTATCATTATAAAGAAGAAAAGAAAATGAGATAATTAGTAAATTAAAATTGATAAAATGTTAGAGAATTTTGTTAAAAATTTTTTAAATGGAGGTTAATTATTTTTTTTTATCGGGAAGATGAGAAAGTTGCCTTTTAAATCCTGAATAAAAAGTTTAATAAAAAATGAAAGCCGCGAAATATTTCGTTATTATAGTGCGCATGCGCACAAATTTAACTTCTACATTTTGCCGTAATTCATAAATAAAAAAAACGTAACGCGTCCCTTGTTTAAAATTGAGGTCGTCTTTTTTTTATTAATATCCGTCGATTCAAAATTTTTAAATAAGTTCTAAAAAAAAAATGATTTTTGTCTTTTGAAAATTTTATTATCGTCTGCCTCCTTATTTTCTTTGATTTCTAATTATATTATCGTCTGCCTTCTTATTTTCTTTAATTTATAAATATTCCTTTTTTAGGATTATAAGTAAGTTATTTGTAATACATTTTTATATGATATTACAAAACGAACAATAAAAAAAAGGTAATGAAAACCTGTTTGCCTTTTTTTTTAAAATGGTTACTAACGCCAAACGATAATTTTATCAATTTTCACGAGACCATTTGAAAGGCGTTATTGGTCCTTGCAATGCAGCGTTTAAAACGCCCAATTTGCGCGCAATATAAAGTTTTTTTCCGGGTTACTTAGAATCCGATTTTCTTACCTGAACTAAGTGCGGGTTTCGGTTGTTAAATTTTAAGCGGTTCTTGTTTTCCGCTCCAAACCCTTTTAGTACTAATTTAAATCCATGATGAGCAAAGAAATTTATTTTTAAAAACCTATAACCAATGACATATAATAATACCTAGACTGACGATGTAATCATAATAATGCATTTGAAAGCGTCGTTGAATGCAAATCAGCTGGACCCGCCATTTTGGTAACCCATATAGTAATCATTCTCATGTTAAAAACAACTATTAAATTGATTAACTTACTTCCTTATTATCTCGATGATCAGGCTATTCTTTAAAAATTTGCGCCAAATGTAGGAAATTTTTAATAATGATATGGATAACCAAAATGGCGTCCCCAGCTGTTTTAATTGTACTCTAATTGCATCGTTAGTCTAGGTATTAATTTATGTCATTACCTTTAACCTAACCATTTTATATCTGAAAACAAAACAAAAAAGGACAATCTTAAACAGTACGGGGGAATTAAAAATCATATCCATATTCCAAAAAATATTTCCGCATTACGACGACGACGACGACGACAAAACGCTTAATAAAACATCGGACATTGAAAAGAACGCCGGTGGCCCGAAAAATTTAAACCCCTCCCTTCGATTCGTCCAAATGCTTTGCGTCAATAAAGGGAAAACTTTGGTCGTGAGGTTGATACCTTACCTGAACGTCGTAAGCGTTTAATTTTATTTATTTAGCTTTTTGGTGGGATGAGATGTTTTAGAGGAATTCGTTTTTTAAAGTTTCACTCTTGAACCCGAAACTGATTTTTAGTATACCATCTCTTAAAATCAGTTGGTGACGCCATTTTAGTGTCTCACGTTACTTGGGTAATTAAAGCTGCTATGGCTTCATCAGCTGATTTGCAGCGATATATTTAAATGACTGGATTGACGATCTAGGTAGTATTTATTAGTATGTCATTGGGCCTATCATATTATTTATTTAGTTATGGGAAGCGAATATTATAAATGCAAGTTGTTTTGTATATTATCATTTTATTTCCATAATACAAAAATTTTTTCAGAAACGACACCCTTTAAAAAAGCCTATTATAATAATTATATCACGTGATCACCACATTAAATATCTATTATACCAATTTTTGAAGCCAAAAAATTAACATGCGATTTTTTTTAAAAAAAAAACAAAAAAATAAACAAGTCACGTGATTTTATATAAAAATAGGCAAATAACTTAAATGCATGAAATGTTACTTTTTCTCGAACATCCAGAAATTTCTATTACCCGCTGACAGTTACAACAAATATAATCTTTCATATTCGCCAGGTCTTGGTTCCATCTTTCGAATCCAACTTTAATTTTGATGAAATAAAGGTAAAACTTCCTCTGATAGATTTCTAAGCTGATCATTTGTTTTTTTAACCCTTTAAATAGAGTCAAAGTTTATGAATTCTCTAAAGAAATTGTTCCCCAAATCTGTGATTGAAGTGTATACGTTAGACCATTCCATGAATGAATTCTACCGAACTCGGATTGGTTAGATTCGGCAGCCATTTTCTGGACTCGGTCTGATTTTGACCTTGACTTTTTCCAACTCGGAGACAAAAAATTTGTTGGACCTAGGTTTCGATGCAAGGGCTCTTAGTATATTTGTTAGCGTCATTGTGCTTTTCCCGTTGCGTTATTTTTCCAACTTTTGATATTTTCTGAAATGTAATCCAGGAATACACCCTATGAATTTTAGACAATTTTGCCCCCAATTGTTTTTAGAATATATATACAGAAAATGGATGAAAAAGTTTCATGGCAATTTTTTTTTTTTTTTTAAATTGCAGAGCAGGTTTTTTTACACATGCTGGTGGAATCGATGACATTTATACTAACCTAGATTGACGATTCATTTATTAAAATATAAGTGCGCACGCATTGGGGTCAGCAGCTGTATTCAATGCCATTGGCCATCGTAGACGATGTTGAAGGGTATTTCGTTTAAATGCCTCTCCGCATTTCATCTAAATACCCTTTTTTATGGTGGGTGGATTAAATAAATTATTTATAATCGTGGGGAATCCAAATGCCGTAGATTTTATATTCCAATTATACATATAGTCACGACGACGCTCCGGACACCGCAACAGCTGTGGTGCTTTACGGACGTAATCTCCCTATCTCTGGCTGAGCCGATTTTAGGGAGTTTTGTCCTTACGGAGTCGTCGAAAACGTCATCGAGTCGGTTTGCGTTGCCGCACTTAACCTCGCTCGTTTTTGACAGCGAAACGAAATTTATCTCCGTAACCATCTGGAAATATTAACCCGATTCCCTTTCACCAAGCGAGGCGGTCGCCGAACGTCAGACCGCTCTATTTATAATAAGACCTATATTATAATCTTAACTTCCTATATTTTTTTTATTTTCGTATTTAAAGAAATGCTTCTTGTATCTGATGACACAAATTTTACGAAACGCTTCCATATTAGCGAAATGTAACCTAAAGGATCAAGTTTACAATTAAAATCGATTATTTAATTTTATTAATCAAATTATGGTTTGTTTATATCAATAAAAATAATTATGTATTATCTTATTTAATCTCAGATTAGTAAAATAAAGATAAACATATTATAAAATATATACAACAGATTATATCAATTTCTTCTTCTTTTATTTTTTCTCTTCTTATTTAGGGAGCACTGTCCAATGTCAATCTCGCTCTTTTCTCCTACATCGTCGATGACCAAAATTTAGAAAAATTTAGTAAATCACACGTGACCAACATTTTGAGAACCCTGAACGAATTTTATTCCGCCCAATCGCAAACCGTACTATTCAACTTGTCTAATAAAGTTTTATATATACATATATAATGTCTATCAAATAGTAAATTTCTACGTTTTGACATTTTTCGGGTGTTTTTTGAAAATTATTTCTAACAAATTTGTCAATAAATATGTTTTGTAATCATTAGAAAGGCAATAATTTATTTTTTACAATTTATAAAAAAATATACATAATAAAATAATATATATATATAGTTAAATTTAGGTTGAAACGCTTATAATAGCCAATATGTTAGGTAAGTGATAACTCTTTTAAATTAAACAAATTTATAAATCAAAAAGATCTGTGAACCAAGGTTATAAGTGGGGTAATAAAAACTTAATAATAGTTTAACATCGATTTTACGAAAATTTGTATTACATGTTAGTTATGATATAAAATATTGGCCAGATCATGTAATATAGATTCTCTCTCTTTCTACGGCCCATTGCAAAACTCTGAGATAATTTGCTTTAACCATCTTTAAGGCCATCCTCGGACAGAGCCAGGTATGGTATATCTATCGTTGGGATCCTTGATTCTAGTTGTGATGCATTGCCCTAAGGGCAAGAAGAGTCGAAAAATGTTGATGTCGCAATTATGGATAGAAATGCCGAGATGCTGGCTAATATTTGACGAATTTATTCAACTCAGCATATATGAGAGCATCCTCTTATATTAGATTTTATTGTCGCGGGTTATCAAGTCTCATTGATACTAGTTTTACTCTGGAGGGGGGGGTGGAAACCATTTGTGTGATTCTTTACTCTTAACTGTCATTGTTCTTAAAGTGGGTGACAACGCGATTTAGAAGGCCAACGGGTAAATATTAGTTCTCCTTAATTTACTTCTACAGTGATTTTTTTGCTAGCAAGATCAAGGGACTTATAGGCAAAATGTTAAGGTCTAGCCAATGGCTGCGCTGCGTTTGAAAAAATCAGGTATTGTCTTGCAATCTTAGATAATGCGAGATATATCGAACGATTTCGAAGCTGTTAGAAATTTTACGAGTATGGCAGTCTGATGGGATTAATCTTCTAAGGGTTCGAGACAATGTTCTCATTCTTTGTGAGGATAAAGCTTGGAATTAAGTTTTATAGGAGTGGAATAGATTTGGTTTTGTTTTTTTTGATTAAAATGCTTTATTGTGATGATGATCTGGGATCATATATGGTTTTGGATGCATCAATGCATCAATCCCGGTTATTATTTTCAACTATTTTTCCATTTATGAAAAATTATATATCATAATATCTAACATGTACTAATTTTCTGTTAAATATCTATGCTAGGCCGAAACATTAATTTTCCACCACCTTTAAAATTTTGTTTGAATTCACAAGTTTTTGACTTGTATTTTAAGTTTGTTTATTTTATCCCTTAATTTCCTTACACGTATATAAATTTTTTTATACGATAATATTATATATATTTTTTTGGTATTAATTAATAGTTTATCTTTTGCCTCAATATTACTATCCTATTATGGGGCGTTAAAATGACCAGGCAACAATCATATAAGGTTACAAATGACGAGGAAATCTATCTAACCATGTAAGAACCTAAAAATAATAATAATAAACGATTCCTCAATTTAATTCGTTAAAAATATTCTCTCTTTCCTATTTTCAATTGGTTTTGTGTGTTTTTTTTAAAGTTTTTAGGAACCAATGAAAAAATAGGGATTTTAAATCAATCGACCATAAAATAAATAAAACTTTGAGAGCCGTTTAACTACACAAGAAAAATAATATTTTTTATTTATATTTTTAAAATTAAAAATCCAAAACCGAAAATTAATTTTAACCATAACCATACGTATTTTTGAATACAATTCACATTCGGGCAAAATAATTACGACATTAGTTCGTCAATTGAGTATTATAATGTTCTATATCCACTTGTATTCAAAGTGCAATTACATCATTTTTATATATCTATAAAAATGTTGAAATTTTTGAATAATCTCTTTTTATATGTATCATTTAAAATGTGCTTACTAGAAATATTTATTTTCTAAAAAAAATGGATATAGAACTTTATAATACTCATCCGGCCATACACACATAATATCTTAATATTTCCTTTTCTATCAGAATTGCCGCCACTTGGTTTTGGCTTAGATCTCAGAAAAATATATGATTTCTTTATTTATTTATCGTTTTTATGATTTGGCAGGAAAGATTCGGTAGCCGCGTTCACCAAATACTTCTCCAAGCTGACAATCGTCGATGAAAATGACCTCATCGTGGTCAAAGATTTCGCGCGAGCCCAGGATCTCTGGGAAGTTTCGAAGAAACATTTGGAAGATGTCCTCAAATTTTGCCAACTGTACAACAACACGGACCTCTTCGCTGATAAATTTCGCGAAAAAATTTTGAAATAAATACTACGAGAAAAAAATATATATATCTCTGCCCACCCAGCAATTTTTCTTTTATATTTAAAATTAATTATTTATAATAAAATAATATAAATTTAAATAGGACCTCTTCGCTGATAAATTTCGCGAAAAAATTTTGAAATAAATACTACGAGAAAAAAAAATTTAATATCTCTGCCACCATCAGTTTTTCTTTTATTTAAATTAATTATTTATAATAAAATAATATAAATTTAAATATATATATATTATTTGAAATCAATGTGAAAAAGTTTTTTATGTTTTTTTTCCCTTCTCAAATTTCTAGTGTTGTTAAGTTACTACCTAACTTTAATTATCTCCAATGTGCCTTATCCAAGCTTTTAGCCTAAAAAATTGAATTAAACCTCTAAGTTGAGTCTCGACTTGAAGATTGATCCGATTACTTTTGTATAAAAATATGGCTACTCTGTTTTATAGATGACTAAAGTTAGTTAGTTAGTTAGTTTAACAACACTATAAATTTCCCTAACTAGTTTTTTTTTTTCTTGGAATCATTTGGCGGAGTTTGTTTTTTTATACATTTACACCTTTTTACAATCCCAAAATCATTTTTTCAAATGAATCCCGATAGTAAATATTGGGATTTTTTTTTACGATTTTATGTTCATCATATAATTTTTTTTTTTTTTTTTAAATATTAATGTATTTTAAAATTATCAAAATCTTTTATAATAAAAATAAATAAATAAAAGAAGAATTAGTTATTTTTTTTAAAAAAAAAGATTTATAATTAGTAGTTTAAATTTGTTTTGTATTTTAAATTATTTTGATTTATCTTATATTTTTATATTATATATTACTATTAAATTTATAAAGCGAGGAAAAAAAATATTAAGTAGAAATGGTCTAGGATAGGCTCTTTTAGTTAGTATAGACTACCATTAAATCTGATGTAATTTGTCGCTTTAAGGATAGCTTATGGTCAACCTTTGTCGAAGAAATCATCTCTCGTGGTTCATCTGACAGTTTGCTGATTATCCTAAATTTTTGAAGAATCCTAGGGCAAATTTGTTCAAAGGTGGCAAGTGTAGTTGAAATGAACGGAATGAAACATTGGTCATTTTAAATTTCTGTGTATTTGAAGATTTTAAGTTGTTCCTTCTGGTCAATGATGTTGATGTCTAGGTTAGATTAGGCTAGGGGGATCTAAACATGGATAGTCCCTTATAAATTAATTTACCAAAATCGGATGAAGCCCTGAATGAGGGTTAAATTATATAGCTGTAATTTCTTTTTTTTTTGGTTTTCGAAATATTCAAGAAAAATATAATAACTTTAAAAAATATTTGTTTTCTAAAACAATATTTGCAAAACAACTAATTGTAGTTTGTTATAATCTTTTATCCAGATTCTAAAAAAACAAATTTTATTAGATGCAATAAAATTTGAATTAGTGGATCACAAAAAAATGGAATTCTAAATAGCGAATTTCGTTTATCAACTCATAAGTTAAAAAATTATTATTAGAAGCGAAGTAAAGGAAAAATGCATTTGAAAGCGTCATTGAATGCAAATCAGCTGGACCCGTCCATTTTGGTAACCCATATAGTAATTATTCTCATATTAAAAAACTACTATTAAATTGATAACTTGCTTTCTTTATTATATCGATGATCAGGCAATTCAAGTTTGGGTCGGATATAGGAATAAATTGGCCTCTCGTTTAAAATTTTTAACAATGATATAGATTAAAATGGCGTCCCCAGCTGTTTTCACTGATGTTCTCTTAATGAAACGCATCGTCAATCTAAAAATTTTGTTTTCGTTGATTTTCCCAGTTCAATGAAAGTGAGATGGTAAAAGTGTAAAATCCCGACCAAGATAACGAACCTTTTTAAGCGCAGTTCATCCACCTGTCAATATACCTCGATTACTTCCATTATTGCCCAACCCAGAAGTTTATCTCTAAACTCATATTAAATTATTCGATTAAACTAATGTTAACTATCTAATAGTGTTTCTATGTAGATAACTTTACGTTTTCTTTAAAGATTTCGCCACAAATATATTGATATGATTGTTTAATCAAATGATACATTGTATAATTTTGTGGCATAATTTATTAAATAGCCTCCGAAATGTTACAAGTGTGGGAGGAATAAAATAATAATTTGATTATGCTTTGTGTGAGTTTTACGTGATCCTGAAATTTACATTTAACAGGTTATGAAATGAAGTTATTTTCCGGGGAATTATCTTCCAGGGGATATTTTTTTTCTGGGGAATTATTTTCCAGGGTATTTTTTTCCAGGGTATTTTTTTCCGTGGAATTCGGGGAATTATTTTCGGGGATTTTTTTTTCCGGGGAATTATTTTCCGCTTTGTATTATAATTTATATAATAAGACGCTTAAAAAATAATATTCGGAGCTATCAATTTTAGTAATGAAAAAGGTATTATAGATATATATATTAACGAATTATGGTATTTTGCTCAGATAAAAAATTTTCCTTATAATCTATTATATATAATCTCCATAATCATAAAACGATCGTTTTCGTTTCTCCCTAATGTATTTTAAATTTAAGGAGACTACAAAGTGTAATGTTAATTTTTTTGCTCTCACGCGAATCGGACTCGAGCCTCCCGTTTCAAAGGCATATGCTTTACCGCGTGCACCAACTTGAATATAAATAAATTAAAAATATTAATTATATATATAGGTATTAAAGTTTCAAAGGCGTATGCATTACGCATGCACCAACTTGAATATAATTAAATTTAAAATATATATATTTTTGCGCATGCGCCAATTTATGTTTAAAATCTAACAAAAACTCTAACAATATCCAAACAAAAGCTCTAAAAAATAAGGTATTTTTGAATTTATACTATTAATATCATTCAAGAGAAACAGTTAATATCATTCAATCTCAAAAAATATCCATACAAAAGCTCTAAAAAATAAGGTATTTTTAAATTTATACTATTAATATCATTCATAAGAAACAGTTAATATCATTCAATAGGTATTTTTGAATCAATAGAAACAGTTAATATCATTCAATCTCAAAAAATATCCATACAAAAGTTATAAAAAATAAGGTATTTTTGAATTTCTTAAATTTTTTTCAAAATAGAAACAGTTAATATCATAAACAGGTCATATCATTCAATCTCAAAAAATATCCATATACAAAAGCTCTGGTATTTTTGAATATATACTATTAATATCATTCAATAGAAACAGTTATATCATTCAATAAGTATTTTTGAATTTATACTATTAATATCATTCAATAGAAACAGTTAATATCATTCAATAGAAACAGTTAATATCATTTAATCTCAAAAATATCCATAAGCTTTAAAAAATAAAGTATTTTTGAATTTCTAATTTTTTTCATAATAGAAACAGTTAATATCATTTAATCTCAAAAGGATAAAATCTAACAAAAACTCCAACAATATCCAAACAAAATGTTTTCAAAAATAGATGTAACATTATTTTCTGTATTTTATAATATACATTTAATCTATGATTATTCAATTTCAATTAAATTTCACCGCAAAAAGATGAAATTAAATAATACAAATACATCTATACTCATTTGCCTCCAACTATTATCATTTCAGAAAAGGCATTTTATTTAATTATTTTTAGATTAATTATTTAAATTAAAAAAACAGTTAATATCTATTTTATAATACTATTTTTTTTAGATTAATTATATAAATTAAAAAAACAGTTAGTATCTATTTTATAATACTATTTTATTATAGGATAAAGGATGCTTGCATGTGCTATAAGATTTAGAAAAAAATTTCAAAAGATCTTACCTAGGATTTTCCCTAAAATTAATCCATAGTGGAGAAACATAACTGTGGTCCTATGAATATAATATGCCAATTTTGTCAATCTTTAAATTTTTAGCTGAAAGACATTGGTAAATTTTCTCATTGTTGTCATAAAGGTAAAGTCAAGTTTCCTCAATGGCCATATCCTGATTATTTAAAAAATCTCTTATCTAATCCTTTAGATCCCTTACATAAAAATTTTATGCATCATATTCGTTCTGACAATAGTTCTATTGCCTTTGCATCTATGGGAGCACAGATTTCAATGGACCTTATTGTTTTAGAGTTTATGGGTAAATTTATCATCGCACATCTCATTTTAATCCCCAGACTGATACCCTACCAAAATTTGCTCAGTTATATATACTAGATACTTCGCAGGCCATTGCAGGGCGTCTTCAGCACCCTGCCAATTCTGATCATGAAAATCTGAATTTTGATTGTATTAAATTCATTATTATTTAAATATTTTATTTCAGTTCTTAACTACCAAAATTATTATAATCTTTCATATTTCACATATATTTTTTTTTAAATAAGAAAATTCTTTGTGCATTTCATATATTTTTCTGAGCCAATATTTAATCTGAAAGTTTCAGTTATATATTTAATTCTGAGCATTCAATATATTTTTCTAAGAGTATTTTTTGAGTTCTTAGAAATTTTATTATGGGCATTTTTGTTTTAATTTAGAAGCCATAAATAGCTATAGCTTTAAATGATTAAAAAAATATATTCTTACATGTACAACAAAATGGTATATAATATATATATAATAAATTTTATTTTTTATTAAGAAATTTTACAATGACTAATAAGTTTGATAAGAGTAGACATGGGCATAGTTCTTTCACTTTGCGGTTAAAATGATCAAAAAATATAATGTTAAATGATAGGGAGTCAAAATTCTTGCATTTTTAACGCAATTATTAAATATTTAAAAATTAGTTGAACTAGTTTCATACAATCATTTTTAATTTATGAACTAAGAATAATAAGATATTATTTATTTAGGCTTGATAATATTATTCTAATATTTAGAAATTTATAAATATCCATTAATAATGTGGAATTTAAGGTTAATTTGAAATATTTTAAGTTTTAAAATTAATAATGTAAAAATGAATAAAGACTACTAAAAATACACTAGTGACCCTCAATGTGAAATTCTTCTTAAAATATATAAATTATGTTCGTAAAATTAGTTCTAAAATTTAAAAACGATTTCAATGTATATAACTTCAAGTTAAATTTTTGATTATAATTATTAAAATAAAATACATATCTAAAATTTTTATATCATATATCAATAAAAATATGAAACAATATTGAAAAGAAAAAAAAATTAAGAAAAACATAAATACAAAAATAAATTTATTTAGGGTTGAGTCCACGTGATTTAATGACCTGTGTATGAATATGCAGTTGGATTGTTATATTTCTATCGATATTCTTTGTCGTAAGAAGAAACCCTTTATTGGATCACTTGTCTTAATTGAATCTATTATAAACGGTTTATCTCATTAATTCTTTTTTTTAAAGTTTCGCTTTAAGTTCATTAAAATATATTAAACTTTATTGGAACTTACCTTTTTTTTTAATGATATCATTTTATAAAAATTTAATTTATAATAATTTAAAATTATTGTGCATTGAAAATGTAAGTAAAACCGGGAAAATCTTTTTAAGATGCTGGCAACAAAGTAATGTTTATTGACTCATAGTGTAAGAACTATGCTCGGAGAGTTCGT